CTATAGTTTCCTTATTTCTGTAGGTAGTGATGTCCCCTCTTCATTGATAGCCTTGATCATTTTAAGTATTCTCTCTATTTTATTGTGAGTACTCTATCTTTCAATTTCCCACTTGGAGAATTCCTTATCTCCTAATGTCTGAACACACAAATTAGTCAGGCAGGTAAAATATGAATTATTTATACTATAATGACATTTTAACCTAAATACCTTTCCATCTCTCTTCTGAACTACTTAAAGTGTAATATTTTTTTTTAGAAGCAATGGCTTATCCAGAAGTGAAGTAAGGAAGTTCTCGTGGATACAACAGTGAGCTGAGCTACAGGCTGCTGTGGCATGACAGGAACAGAGCCAGCTCAGGTGAGACAGTGAGCTGAGTCCTTTGCCTTACAGAAGCTTCTCAGTTTCCCAAGGTCCCATTTATTAATTGTTGATCTCAGTGTCTGTGCTAGAGGGGTTATATTCAGGAAGCAGTCTCCTGTACCAATTTGTTCAAAGGTATCTCCCACTTTCTCTTCTAGGAGGTTCAGTGTGGCTGGATTTATGTTCAGGTCTTTGATCCATTTGGTCTTGAGTTTTGTGCATGGCAATAGACATGGGTCTATCTGCAGTCTTCTACACACCATCATCCAATTGTACCAGAACCATTTGTTGAAGATGCTTTCTTTTTTCCATTGTATAATTTTAGCGTCTTTGTCAAAATTCAGGTGTTCATTGGTCTGTGGGTTAATATCAGGATTTTTTATTTGATTCCATTGATCTTCCTGTCTATTTTTGCACCAATACCAAGATGTTTTCAGCACTATAGCTCTATAGTAGAGCTTGAAGTCAGGGATGGTGATGCCTCCTGAAGTTCCTTTATTGTACAGGATTGTTTTGGCTATCTTGAGTCTTTTGTTTTTCCATATAAAGTTGAGTATTGTCCTTTCAAGGTCTGTGAAGAATTTTGCTGAGAATTTGATAGGGATTGCATTGAATCTATAAACTGCTTTTGACACAGTCAACAAGACAAACTGGCAGCTCACAGAACAGGAAAAGATCTTCACCAACCTCACATCTGACAGAAGGCTGATTTCTAAAATATACAAAGAACTCAAGAAGCTAGTCACCAAAACACCAAATAATCCAATTAAAAACAGGGGTACAGAACTAAATAGAGGATTCTCGATAAAGGAATCCAAAATGGCTGAGACACTTAAGAAAGTGCTCAACATCCTTAGCCATCAGGGAAATGCAAATGTGAGAATGGCTAAAATCAAAAACACCAATAACAGCTTATACTGGAGAGGATGTGGAGGAAGGGGAAACACTCCTTCGCTACTGGAGGGGGTGCAAACTTGTACAGCCACATTGAAGATTAGTATGGAGGTTCCTCAGGAAAATGGGAATCAGTCTACCACAGGACCAGGCAATTCCGCTCTTAGACAAATACCCAAATGATCCACATCCGTGCAACAAAGACACCTGTTCAACTATTTTCATAGCAGCATTATTTTTAATAGCTAGAACCTGGAAACAACCTAGATGCCCCTCAAATGAAGAATGGATAAAGAAGATGTGGTACATTTACACAATGGAATACTACTCAGAGGAAAAAAATAAAAACAATGGAATCTTGAAATTATCAGGCAAATAGCTGGAACTAGAAGAAACCATCCTAAGTGAGGTAACCCAGTCACAAAAAGACAAACGTGCTCCTTCATCCAGCAGCTAATGGAAGCAAAAGCAGAGTTCCATGACTAAACTCTGAGCTGAACTCCTAGAATCCACTTGCAGAGAGGGAGGAGTGATCAGCAAAGGGGTCAAAACCAGGCTACAGGAACCCACAGAGACAGCTGACCTGAACAAGGAGGAGCTCATCGACCCCCAGACTAATAGCTGGGAAACCAGCATTGTACCAATCCAGACCCCCTGAACGTGGGTCTCATTAGGAGGCCTGAGCAGCCTAAGGGAACCTGGTGCACAAACAGACTTCGGAAGCACATTCTCCATGGAAGGATACTCCCTTTGCCTAGAGACACGGGGGGGGGGGGGGGGGGGCGCCTAGGCCCTACCCCAAACGACTTGGCAGATTTTGATGATCCCTCCTGGAAGGCCTCACCCTCCCTGGGGAGTGGATGGGGGACAGAATGGGGGATCAGTGGGGGTATGGGAGGCAGGGAGGGAGGGAGAGGAAACTGAGATCGATATGTAAACTAAGAAAAAATATTTTTAAAAAGGAATGGACATAAAAGACAGTGAGGTGAGCTACAGGCTGCTATGATAGAGCAGGAGCAGGAGCAGTGCCGGCTCAGGGGGCTCTGTGGCCTCAGCCCCGAGATGAGCAATCTCTGAATGCAATGAGATGATTAAAGGATGTCATGCAGCCTCCAGTCATTCAAGTGGAAGGTAGCACTGCCCATTGTGGGGGTCACCTCCCCTTGTCACAATTTTCTGTAAAGCTCAAAGGCCCGTTGCTGCACGTCCTTTAGCCTAACAATTAAAAAGCATTTGGGTCCATACAAGAATCCCAAGAAGTATTTCAAATCCTTAAGTTCAGCGATGGGCAGGGGGGTGGGGGGGGGGACAGGCTCATCTACCATAAATTCTCCTCTCCGCTTCCTCTGCAATCTATTATAAATCATAGAAAACCAAAGACAAAATTAAAGAGCAATGAAGAGTGCCCAAGGAAATGAGGCCGAGCTTAATAGGCCTCAACCCAACTGCAAGCTTGGCTTTTAAAGCTCAGGTCAGTGACTTAAATCGCACACCGTTTGCTGGGCTCATGACCACCCACGCTTGAGCGCTGTCCAGCATTCTCTGAGGTGAGTGTCCTGCAAAGCCAGGAAGGTTAGTCAGGAAGGGACCACGGAGGAGGATAAAGGTGATGCTGGAGGGGTCTGGTGCACCGCCCGCCATAGGAGATGCCCGGCACTGAGTCACTGCTCCAGAATCTGTCCCCATCAAGCCCAAGCAAGCCCTTCCCAAGCCCTTTAATGTAGAGGAATTAAGACCAGTGTGACTACTCACACAGGACTAAGGGATCGCTTTACAGCAGCATGCCCAGAAGCTACAGCACACTTGTCAGATTTCAGCCCTGGAAAATACCAAGTTCTCCTCTGTGCCAGTAAGAAAACAATCCTCAGAGGGAGTGAAACTTCACATTCCGGGGTAACCACTCACATGAAGGGAAACCTTTTGTGGTTGCTAACTATAAAACTTGCTTTCTAAGCAAGAGGGGTGTTTCCAGAAAGCAACTGTAGCATGACACCAGGACCAATATCTACTGTGCAAACTGCACAACACCACTGAATTTAGAATACCACTTTTCCAGCCATGTAAGGCCCTGTTGGCCCAGATTTCCATTTCCACTCTAGAGGCTGGAAAGCATCAGTCGTTAAATATTTGCAAGGATGTATTTTCCAAACTACGTCAATTGTTTTTATGATCCTAACTGTGGCCACAGTAAACCTGGCTATTTGCAAATATCTGAGGTCTCCCAGCTAATGTGAGAAACTAATGATGAAATTGGCCTTGTTCTGAAGCAACTACTTAGAACATGAATATGCTAGGAAAGATGGACCCTCCCATAAAGATCAAGCTTAGTCACATAGAAAGCACATATCAGCGTCTTTTTAAGGCAAACAATGTTCCAATATTTGCAGTTGGGCCACAGAGAGTGGTCTCAGTCAAATCAAGCATGATCTGATGTCCCACTGAGGATACGGAATATAGCAATACAGATCCTTCGCTTCCTTTTATGTCTTTGGATAAATCAAGCCATGTAGACAGCCTAGTTTACGTGCGCTAGGTAGCTTAGATCATGGAACATCCCCACTGAATATGCTATGTGGACGCACAACAACGGCTTCTGTAGACTCATGACTTGTAGACCCATAAGATACAGACTTACGCACCGTGCAGGCCTAGTCCAGACACAGGATGCCAAACCTATCATAAGACAAGGATTCTAGTCACGGCAAACTCCAGCTTATGGGTAGGAAAAGGAGGAAGGAAAACAACAGAGATCAGGCAGAGGTCTGCCCAGAGCCCAGAGAATCGCCAAGTTGGGTAATGGTGACCTAAGAAAGGTGTCAAGGAGAGGAGCCGGGGCTATGTACTAACGCTATGGCCAGGAGTATATAAACTGTTTCTTGGTAACGTTACTGCAAAATAGCCCTCATCTTCTGTCAGTTGTCAATATTGCTGAATTATTTATAAGCAGAGCGATATAATCAATATTCTCCTCAAAATATATAGGGTTTATAGGCATTTGAGATTGAGGAAGATAAAGAACAAGATATGAATTGACACATGCTGGGTATAGTACCAAGGCAACCTTCCCAAGGTAACACAGGGCACTTAGCAAATACCAGACACACAGAGTCCTAACCTACAGTGCATGTGTAGAGATGTTGGCTGGATGGCAAGGTCAGGGCCTATGACCAGGGAAACCATGGGTTCCCAGACAGGAGACAGAATACCCTTTTCTACACTGCACATGATTTTCCTAGAGTTGGAGAAAGCAGCCCTCACTGAGGGTGTGTACAGCACACTGTCCTCAATGTCCTCAATCCCTGCATACTTCCAGGATCCTACCCCAAGTCAACAAAGTTAAATATCAATTGGGAAATAAAAGCTAAATTACAAAAAAAAAAAGGTGGTTGGGGGAGCAGCAGGTAATTGCTTCAAAGTTCAGAAGAACCACCGTTTACATCCAGGGCAACAGAAGTGCCTGCGTGGTACGTTCTAAAGCAACTTTACATATAAAGAAATTAACATGTTGTTTCCTTCCAGGCACTACAAAGGTAGCAGCTGAGGAGTTGGCTCGCTCTTTTGTAAAATTAGTAACAAATGCGTGAGCCTCTGGAATGCTAGGATTACGGGTCCTGGGAGCAGCTGCAAGTACTCTTAAATCCCATAATACCTCATCAAAGTGAATGAAATCTGACCGTCTTTTAAAGGTGACTTGAGACCCCGTGTGAACTGGAGAGGCCCCGCTCACACCGTGGGGACATTACCTGAGGAGATGCCGGGTTGAAGGCCACTTCAGTAACTGTATCTGTGTGTCCTGCCAGGCGATACAGAAAGCTGCTGGAGCCCATTTCATACACATACGCCTAGGAGACAAGACAGGCAGGTGTCGAAGGCTGGCAGGACTGGTGACCAGCTCCAAACACTGGCTCAGGTGTGGTCTGTGACTTAGTGAGCCACTCACCCTGTCTACTCCCTGTCATGAGCCCATCATCATGCCCTCTTAGCAGCCTAAAGCGAGTGTTCATAGTGTTCATTGGAAGGGCGTGCACGCAGCCTTTGCCTGCCAACCCTTCTCAAAGTCCCATGCTAAAAGAGATGACGTCCCATGCTCCTCCCACGAGCTGAGACAAGTGGGTAACATTTGACGTAGAATATGAATGCGTGTGCCACCGCCGCCTTTAATCCCAGCACTCGGGAGGCAGAGGCAGGCGGGTCTCTGTGAGTTCGAGGCCAGCCTGGTCTACCGCGTGAGTTCCAGGTCAGGCTCCAAACCTACAGTCTCAGGAAAGAACCAAACAAACAATAGTGATAATGACTTGTGGTTTCCTGCCATTGACTGGGAAGCGTCTCTACCAGAATCACTGCACTTCCCGTGTTACCAGTTGCTTTCTGTAGATGTGGTAAAATACCACAGCCAAAAGCAACTGAAGGGGGGGGCGCATTTCAGGGTTATAGTCCACATGGCACGGCAGCGGGTGACAAAAACGAGAAGTTGGTGGGTTCTGTCTGCTTGTCCCTATTTCATTTAGGAGTCTGCTGTTGTTGCTGTTGTTGTTCTTGTTGTTGTTGATATTCCTAAGTCAGACGCAGCTGTTCTCTGAAACATTACCAAGTTTTCATAGCAGCTGGTCAATGAAAAGAAGGAATACCCTGATGCTTGCTCTCTTTAGATGTTTGTGGTTTGAAACGGGTATTATTGCATAGTGCCGATCCGTTTGTTGTTTGTTTGTTTTCAGAAACAGGGCTTCTCTGTAGTTTTGGAGCCTGCCCTGGAACTAGGCTGGCCTCAAAATCACAGAGATCTGCCTGTCTCTGCCTCCCCGGGTGCTGGAATTAAAGGAGTGCTGATCTTTAAGGAGCAGATCTTCTGTGAAAACAACTGGCCCTTTCCACTTAATTTTTCTTTTGGAGAGGATTATGGGAAAGTCTTTTCTTTGGGAAATTATAATGGGTATGAGTCACTCAGGTGGGGTTTGTTTACACTAGGACCTTGCTAGGTAGCTCAGGTTGGCTTCAAACTCAGCAGAACTCTCCTGCCTCAGCCTCCCAACTGCTTTGTCCTCGAGTGACCCAGGGAAGTGTCTGTAGTTCAAAGTGACTGGAATCACCCCCATTTCTGCAGGTGGAGCCTTGTCTCGATGGTCATTACATTTCAACACGGGTTTATATACATACATACATACATATACATACATACATGCTGTAGTATTTTACTTTATAACTCATCAGCACTCACTTTCTAAATGAAAATGAACACACAGTTCAGGAATGCCTCAGCAGGCTCCAAACTAGAAGGTGCTGCGAATTCTCTTCTTTAGATTTTATGCTTCTTAATAGCAAGGACTAAGTCATATGACAGACAGACTGTGATAAATGTTTAAACTGTACAATGAAGACAATGCATTCATAATAAGAATTTGCTTGGTATACTGGCTTCGGGTAGAGAAAAGGGAGGGTTTTTTTTCATATTTTCCTTTCTTATGAACTTGCAAGTCCTCCTTCAAAATTCAGCTCATGTTATTTTTCTGACTAAATCGTTAACTGTTAAAATCTCAGCTTCTTCACATATGTGTGTATCTCTTAAATCGTATTGTGTACCATGTGTTCACATTTCTTATTCTTCTAATTCAGAAGTCTTTCTAGACAGAAATAATTTCTGATACATACCACCTGCTCAATAGATCTGCACTGGTCCATACCCATTTCTACATTCACGTGACTCTCTCAGAATGGACACTATTCATTAAGTGACCTTTCAGATGACAGAGGGACACAGTGGAGGAAGAGGAAGGGGCTAGCAGCTTCCAGCCAAGGAGCATGAAGACCTCGCAAGGGGGCCGGCCTCCCCCGTGGGCTGAGCCTCCAGCTATGTGTGTTAACACGGCCCTGGGACACTTTAAGACCTCTGTGTTCCAAATCTGCAGGAGGTGTGGGTCTGGCATGGAGAAATATGATGAGGAAGGGCGGCAACTGCATTGGGAGAAGCGTGCAGCTCTCTAAGCAACCCAGCAGAAATGAGGGGCACCTTATTACACAATGAGCTGCACTACACGCATTCCTATGCCACACACCTAACCCTAACCCGGTGTCTATGATAGCTAATAAAGAAATGAGGGGTGAATGATAAGTGTGAATTGTGTGTCAGTAAAAATGAGCCTTTCATGGTCACAGCTTACCGCTGTGGATTTCTAATGCTGGGTAAGTCTCTTAAAATAGATTTTTTTTTTTTTTTAGCCCCATTTCTCAATGGTGCTGAAGGTCTATTTGATAACACTTGGAGGAAGCACACATACATACATGTCTGTCCTCTGCACCACAGCCTACAAGCCTTCCACAAGGACTAAAAGCAACTCCACACGGGTAACAGCGGTCTGGGTGCCCTTCGAAGCGGCGAACACACCTGCAAGGGTAGAAGGAAACAGCTGGGCAGAAAATGGCTGTTAAGACAAGCTAGAAGACAACAATCAACATGTGTGCTGATATTTTGTTTATGATCTAAAGAATAAAGCTTGCCTGAAGATCAGAGTGCAAAGCAAGCCACACTAGCTAGCCATAGAGGTCAGGCAGTGGTGGACACACCCCTAATCCCAGCACTCAGGAGACAGAGGCAGACAGATCTCTCTGTGAGTTCAAAGCCGCCCTGGGATACATAAGACTGAATCTGCATAAAAGAGAAACATGGCTCACACAAATGTGATCTCAGCGTTTGGGATCCCACGCCTTTAATCCCAGCACTAGAGAGGAATATAAGGTGGAGGAGACAGGGGCAGTGGAGTTTGAGGTTTGGTGGAGACAGGACCACCCATTTAGGCCTGAGGTAGACGTCAGAGCTAGCGGCTGACTGCTTTGCTTTCCTGATCTCCAGCTTTAAGCCCAGTATCTGTCTTTGGGTTTTTATTTTTCATGCTACAGACATGTTTTTTAGCTGATAGCTAAAGAAAATTACTTTCTTTGATGTCTGTGTGTGGTATTGAGAATCAAATCCATGGCTTTTTCTCATGCTAGGCAAATACTACCACTGAACTACATCCTTGAAAAAAAATGTCATATTAAGAAGTATTAAATGGTAGGTAATTAAAGAGACCTTTAAAATAATTTAAACTCTTTTCAAAATCATAAATTCCCAAAGATGTAAGAGAAGATGAACCTTTATATATAAGAAATATTAAATAAGCAATTTCTAGTGATTTTTCAAACAAATCTTCTAAAATCATAAATTATGGAAAGAGGCAACCCACAGCATTTAGGGAGCTGCAGCATTCTAGAAAGAGGGTTGAGTTTCACAACCACTTACCACAGGCTATATGAAACTTGCCCATGGTCGTGCATTGATGGTACACGCCTTTAATCCCAGCACTCCGGAGGCAGAGGCAGGCAGATCTCTGTGATTTTGAGGCCTGACCTACAGATTGAGTTCCAGGACAGGTTCCAAACTAATACAGAGAAACCCTATCTCTGAAGGAGGAAAAAAAAATAAACTTGCCCATGAGGGAAAAAAAATCAATGATTTATTCAATTTTATTAAGATCGAACCTAGTAGCCAGAGTCTTCCTTAGAAAGGCATCAACAAGCATGGCCAACACCTTGTGGGTACCCTGGGGCATGTCAAGACTGAATATCGTCCCTGAATAGTAGCTGAGATCTCACTTCAACCATATAGCATAGGGTGAAGCTTTTGTATTTCTTCTACTGACACAGAAGAAAGAAAGCACACTGCTGGCGATTTCCTTGTGAATATCTGTGTAGTGTGAACATATACAAACACTTGTCAATTTCATGACATTACACACACACACACACATATATGTATGTGTATATATGTACATATATATATATATATAGTACAGTGATGGCTTACCATAGTTTAATTACCAGAAGGTAAAGGTTAACGCTTAAATAGAAATATCTTCACAAGAGGAAGACCAAAAGACCAAGCAGCCTAAGGTGAAGTACCATCGGTGTCACTCCAGGGGAGCTGTGTGAGCCCAGTGCTAGTGTCCAGTGTAAGCAGGACACATGTCACAGGAAAAGAAAAGAAAAATGTATCTGGGGTAGCTCTACTATGTGTCCCCACACTTACCCGCATCTCTGACTCTCAAATAGGAGAACAGACTAGCCCTTACGGTTTTTACCACCCCTCACATCTCTGACTTTCAGGAGTCGTGTGTGATTGGCCCTCGGAGAATAGACAAGCACGTACGGGTTTTTTTACCATCCCCCGGGTGACTGCACTGATTCTGTGGGCACTCCGGGCTTCCCCACAGCATACCCAGACCAGTCATGGCCTTGTAGTATTTGCAGGTTGCATTCCCAGCTCAGTTCCAGTTTCCCCTCGAGGCGGTGCTTTGATGCAGGCTGGCCTTACCTCAGAGTCCTCAGGTCCCACAGTCGGACGCCATCACCGACAGCTGTGGTCAGGAAAAGATTATATGCCAGAGACTTCTGAGTGGTATATGATGATCCCTGTCATCAGATAGGGAAAATTAAAAAATCGGGAGGAGCTTTTAAGAAACATTTTACTTATTTGATTTGAGAGGGGATGCATGCCACAGTGCGTGTATAGACAGACCTCTGACAACTTAACGGGAATTGGTTCTCTCTTTCTGCCCATGTGGGGCTGGGGAAATCAAACTCACATCACCCTCAGGCTTAACCTCAAGTGCCTTCACCTGCTTAGCCATCTCACAGACCCCAAGATGACAAGACTGGAATCTAAAGCCGGAAGTCAGCTAACCTTCCTTAAGTTTGTAGCTTTAGGGCGGGACGGTAAACCTCCATGCAGCCGTGAGTAACATAGCAACCTGTGTAGATAACAAACTGCACATACAACAGGGCCTCTGGAGACTCCCTCCTGGTGGCATTGTAGCATCTTAACCTGTGTAGGTACACGCTGTGGCTAACGATGTAATTCTCAGGACACGACCTCAGGTTGGGCAACGGCATGATTGCTAGCCAAATGCACTCTACTCTTAATAATCAATGTCTGTTTGCTCGATGCCCTTGAGAGCCACAGAACTACAAAACAGCAATGGAAAAAAAAGACTAAGGTGCTTTACGCACCATTTGTTTTCAGTATTGATCACAACCTTTATCCAACAAATTATCTGTAATGCAATACACTCCTCAATGAGCACTAAGTGTTATTGGCCAGTTATCACACCCTGAGTGGGTGCCTTGGTGATGAAACACATGACATTCTATGGACCACAGGACCCCACATTTCACTCATGTCACTGGCAGTAACGGCTCTCTCTCTGCAAGTCCAGGCCTTGACATCTGATGACTCCGATGGTCCCCCAGATGAAGGATGAACCCCACCAGAGGAGCCATTTGTCTCAAAACATTCCTCAAATGCACTATAATTCATAAGACCACCATTCTCTTGCCACATCAAGATTACCTGAAATATTATGACAGACATGTCCAAGATCTAACACTAATGCACAGAGTGACTTAGTGGAGCCCATTCTTGTCCAGCATAGTCACATGGGTTTGTAGGGGGTGTGAAGAGGTGCCATAGTCTTGCCTCAACAAGATGATGGGACAGACTTAGTAGACTTCCTAGTGGAGGCCTTACCCTCTTCTAGGAGCAGATGGGAGGTGGGGGAATATGGGGAGCAGGAGGAGAAGAGGGAGAGGGAACTGGGATTGGAAGGTAAAAAAATAAATTAATTTTTAAAAAGCCAAATTTAATGATAAAAAAAAAAAACAGGTGAACCTAGAAGTCATTCTTCATCTACAAGCAGGAAACAAAGGCTCACATTAAGCTCAGTGAGAACAAGACAGACAACATGCTACACACTTCTTTAGATCTTTATCCTTCCAGCATTAAAAACTAGTTAGTCCCCACTTATAGTCAAGAAATCTGATATGTGGTGGTGGTCTATACAATGCCTCATTGCTGTGAAGCTCAAGTTAGTCCAATCCTGAGTTATCTGGAAGAAAAGCATCAACTGGAGGATTTCCCCAAACAAGGATAGCAGACTGTGGATGGTGCACAGGTTGGCGAAGCCAGCTTTGGCCCAGGCAGGCAGTAGACTCCTGATTCAGTGAGTCCTCAGATGATGAGAGGCCCCCTCCTGAGCACACTGAGAATGGAATGCATTCCCCATCACAGATATTAGTCAAAGACAAAGAATGAAGAGTCTCCTGCAATGTTATTAAGACATCTGCAGGGGCTAGCGGTACGGCCAGCACAGCGCTCATCTAGAGGACCTCGGTTTGGTTCCAATCACCCACACTGGGTAGCCTATAAGCCCCTTTAACTACAGCTCTAGGGCAATCCAACGTCTCCAGTGTCCAAGAACACTGGCACCAACACACAGATATACACATACACACATAATTTTAAAATACTATTAATAAATAAATCTTTGAGAGAACTGTAGCAAAAGAAGAAAGTTTAACATAGTTTGATGATCAGAAAACAGCTAATACTGGATCTGGCAGGAGTTTGAGTTTGCGTCATAACCCATTTATAATTGTTAAACACGTTAAGCTGAGACTTCTTAAATACCACTTCTACTACTGTCTACAAACTCACTTTATTTTGACAGATTTGATGAGCAGGCCTTGAATGGACTTCAGCTATCACTGCAGTGCTGCGGCCAGCATTAAGGTCAAAAACTTCCACACTCCGGTCCCGACCAGCTGCGAGTATGATATCTGCAGAAGGTCAGTCAAGGGGTCGCCTCCGAAGTCTCATCTATGGCACACAGGTCTACCCACTTTATTATCGGGAAAAAGTGGGGACCTCACAAGACTCAGAAATGGATAATTAGTAAATTATCGAAGTTCCAGAGAAAATGCTCAGTATAACTCTACCAGCGACGGCTCCCAGCTAGCGCGGGAGCTGAAGAGGAGGCAGTGATGGGGACAGAGCATGGCACAAGACACAGTGCGGACATCCACCAGCTCCTGGGATAGATACACGGTGTCATCAGCACAGGGTGCAGGGTGCAGACCCGCACCATGCTCTGTCAAGAGGCATGTTGAGTTTTGACGGCACAGGGCACCTGCAGCAGGTGTGACAGTTTGCTAAGAAAATGCACTAGATGACTACGCACGTTATTCGGTAAACACAGACGCCGCTGGTGAGCTTGAGCAGCTGTGTCATAACCCAGACTGTTAATCCTTGGAGGTGCTCCTTGCTATTAAGATAAGGTTACTCCACCCACAATTACGGCAAAGGGCCCCACATTCCACAAGGAGAGCCACTCGTCTGTCCCTTGTGCCCAGCAGGACGCCTGGGGGCTTCTCAGATGCCCAGAAAGGGCTTTGCCAGAAAGCAATGCTCAGTGCAAGGCACAGCCGCAGACTGGAAGGAAGGATACAGGAGTAGAAGTCGTTCACGGCAGACACGGTGGTCATGTCTGCTCCGCTGCTCAACGGGAGCCGGAAAATAGGCTTGTACCTGCTTTTCGGTTTATACCTGTAAGAAATGCGGGGAAGATGACCAATGTTTTTACTTCTCCATTTAAAAACATAAAAACATGAAAATAAAGGGTTTTTGTTGCTTAGCCACATGTTTTAATGCTAAGTGAATAAGCCACCTTAATCTTCCTTTTGGGAATTCAGTTTTCTATCAGAAATTCTGGGTTGTTCTCTCTCTCTCTCTCTCTCTCTCTCTCTCTCTCTCTCTGGATGCATCATGAAAGTACCAGTATATTATATAGCCCAAAACAACCCATTCCTAACTATGGGGAAGCTAGTTTGTCTCTTAATTCTAAAATAATTATATGTTCCCTGATAGGTACTCAACCAGTTACACGGTGTTACTATCTCATCCTGAATATCAGTCCTTATTACTTTCAGAAGGGTAACATGAGCACTGGGTATTGCCTCAATAAGTGCATGATCTTAACCATGGAAGTAATTTCCTACAGGGAAATAAGTTGTAAGCCAGCCCAGGAAGTAATCTCAGCCCAGCCTGAGCACAGCTTGTCAAGGACAAGGCAAAAAAAAAAAAAAAAAATGTACAAAGAGTCAGCTTGGTGGCGTTGAAGAGCTTGCACAGGCCCAGCGCAGACACTGCACTTCCCAGGGTGAAGACACTTGTGTTCTCCAACACATGGTGCAGGGAGCTGCCTGGAAGGGTGCTGCACCCGAGGCTGAGAAGCTCTGGAATGGGTTCTCTGAGCCGCAGAGTCCAGGGGCAGGCCCCAGGCCTGAAGGGACACAAGGGAGGTGACCATACAGAGATGGAAACAGGATGCGGTCAAGTCTCCAGGGAGGCTTGAGAATAAATGTTCAAACTGATGGCCAGGCTCAAACACTGCTTAAGTGACATGGAAGGGCGGCTAAGAAAGAAGGCGCTAGAAAACAATAGAAGACTTTCCAGAAAGGCGGCCAGGCAGAGGTGTAGAGGAGAGAAGAGAACCATGCAGATAACACAGCAAGTGTGAATGCAGTCACTGTCCTCAGTCATTTTTCAGGATTGAAACCATGCCTGGTAGAAGCCCTTTCTCCTACTTTCCACAGCCAACTGAGCTGTAGTGTGGATTATGTACTCTAAGCCTGTGTCTGCCCAGCCAGGTAAATACTGGCAGAGAGAGAGAGAAAGAGAGAGAGAGAGAGAGCCAGCCCATAGCGGTGATCACAGTAAAAGTCAGCACTGATGACCTCAGAGACAGAGATGTCTGGCACAGGGCAGTCACCAATGACGGGAAGTCCTTGTTGGGACCAACTTCATCCTACTTTAACTTCCGGTGTTCCTGACAGGAGCTTCCAATCATAGAAGGCAGTGCTTTCTGTTTTGGGGTGGGATGAGTTGATGTGGAATGGGGTGGGGTGGGGTGTGATAGGACGAGATGACTAGGATAGGATGAGGTGGGATGGGATAGGAGGGGAGGGGATGAGATGGGAGGGGATGGGAGGGGAGGGGATGGGAGGGGAGGGGATGGGATGGGATGGGGTGGGATGGGATGAGATGGGATGGGGTAGAGTAGAATGAGATGGGAGGGGATGGGATGAGACAGGATAGGATGGAATGGGATGGGGTAGGGTGGGGTGGGAGGGAAGGATAGGAAGGGATGAGTAGGCTATGGTGGATGAGATGGAAAGATGTGCTTGTGGGCTGGGGTAAATGGGTGGGATTAGTTTCCACACTGGACCCATGTAAGATAGTTCAGCCCACCACGTGAGTTCAAGGTATACAGCAGGCAATTCGTAGCTCCTCACTCTAACTTGGCTCATTTTACCCTGCCAGGATGAGATGATGTGTCTGTCCTATGATGACAAACACGTTAAGCAAAATTACACCTGCTGACAACCAAGAAATTGGATGAATTGCAACAGTCCCCTGTAAATCACTCATCGGGTCCATTTATACCTACGCTTCTAACAACTTTCCAGTGATAATGAAAGTAAAATATGTGTTATTATGTAAGGTTGTATAGAAGGAAAACAAAAAAAGTCTCTTTTTACATAAGTGAGAATTGTGCTGAGTATTCTGCCAGACATTTTAATATAAGACCATAATTATGCTAGAATAATTTTTACTTTAAATATCAAAAAAATCTCTCATTACTACTTGGCATTCCTCTAAGTAACATATCAATCAGTGTTTGCACTGAATACAGCAGAGCGTGAATACCACTGTTTAACTATGCATTAAGTTTCCCAGCATTCATACATTAAGAGACTCTCCCTGCGTTCATCTTTCCATCTATCCATGGCTATTTTCTTAAGCTAATTAAAGAAAAGAAGAACATGGAGGAAGAGGCAGACACCCCCCCCCCAGAATGGCAAAGTGATGGTCAGGAGCAAAAGTGGGCGGACAAAAGTGTAAGAGCAAAAAGTGATGGTAAAACTGAGAAGGTAGTAACCATAGCTTCCCCCTTCCATGTTTCTTAGAGTGCATGTCTCTCAGAATGAAGAGGTGGGCCAGGGTGAGAACGGGGGCTGGCTCTCTGGGGCAGGTTCAGGAGGGGTGGGGGGCATTTGGGGGTGGGGGGACCACCTACCTTCGTATGTCATCCCTACAGAGGTCGATGTGGTACTTTAGCAGCCGGAATTCGGGGCCACAAGACAGCAGTATGAAAGTGTCCATGTAGTAGAACTGTGCACATGTTATCGGCTTGGGGAAAGAATCTGAACCCTGTGAAGTAGGCCAGCGATGAGCATGGCAGCATGCTGCCGCACAGTCCCACGACAGCCCTCCCCACACTCCTGTCCTCATCCTGAACACGTCTTGCCACGGCCAACCCACAACGCTGACTCTGCTTGCTTTCGAAGCTCACTGTGGTAAGGTGATGGGAGATGTCATTCTGTAAATGTGTTTCTCGTACTGGTTAATGAATAAAGCACTGTTGGCCAATAGGAAAGCAAGATAGGCGGGACTAGGAGACAAGGAGGATTCGGGAAGAGGTAGGAGGATTCAACATGTGGGGACTTGAGAGAGCAGAACTCCGTACCCTCTCTCCGGTAAGATAAGACTACGTGGAAATACTAAGAAATGGGTTAATATTTAAGACAGAGCTAACCAATAAGAAATGCTACTAACAGGCCAACAGCTTTATATCTAATACACAGTCTCTGTGTGTTATTTGGGGCTGGCACGGCTTGGGACCAGGCTGGCGGGAAAACTACTTGTAACATAAGGCTTTTCAATCCTGCCCACTTACAAGCGCTAAGATGAAAAATGTTGAAAATTTGGGGGTAAGGAAATTTTGAGACAGGATCTCACTATGTAACCCCAAACTGGCCTTGGAGGATCACCCTGCCTCTGTCTCCTTAATCTGAGATCACAGGCTTCTGCCACAGGGCTGGCTTAGAAAATTGGAAAGTGGGGGGGGGGGGTTCAATGAAGCATTGAACATCAAGACTATTCCTGGTGTTGAAATCAAAAACACGGTTTGGAACTCAGTTCTGGGTATCTACTACCAGCTTTGTGTCTCACAGCCAATCAGGCCCAGCCCAGGGACTGATAACTCTGTGGCTGGCTGCTGAGAACGTCCTGTAGGGCGGCGACCCTGAGCACTCCGTCTGCCCGGCTGACCTCCCCATAGACAGGACTTGTGAGGCGATGCATCCAACTGTGGCAGCTGATAATGCACTCAAGACCTAGCCAACCGTGGAGCACCACATGGTGTGGACCATGAGACCCATGGAGCGTGTGCACACTCCAGCATTACCAGGAATCGTCACACCCTGGGGTCAGTAGTCCAGAAAAAGGTCAAACTTCAAAGCGCAGTTTCTATCACTTTCACATGCTGTTAAGTTCAAGTATTATAGCTCTAAAATGCCCAGAGTCAGCTGCTCTCTGACTTTCATAAAGGCTCTTCTGGGTTAGGGTGTAATTCGCGAGAGGAGGCAGGGTTTCTTAGCACCTCTCCTGTTTCCTTCTTAGTGGTGAGATTTAGTGTGCTCTCTCTCTCTCTCCCCATTCCACTTCCAAATAACTTTATACACATGCATTAAAGCAAGTCATAAAACAACATCCACTTGTCCACCAGTATTCCTCTATAATGTAATATCGAACTAATACATAAAATTACCCATGTTGTTCTATGGGTCCTTTTGCCATTTTCGTGCCATAAGAAACATAAACATATACCAAATGTATCTGTCGGTGTACATATCACACGCCGAGAACGTGTTACCATGTGTTACGTACGATTGCATTTCACCTGTGAATGAATTTGAGGAACTGTCCTACCATCCTGTCTCTATTGCAGTGGACAGCTCCTCATTCTACCTGTCCCTGGGCTCCACACCCAGGGTCACTACCTGCCATGACATATGTGCTCATGTACACATTACCAAAAGCATCATGGGTTCTGTCCTGGGAACCGACCACACCCTCAGTGTCTGGTCCCGGCCTGTAGACAGCAGCCACCTCTTGTCATGGCTCCAGCAGACGGTGCTCACAGCTCCATCGTGACCTAAGTGTTCAGGATAAAGGGAGGAAGAAAGAGAAGGAGAATGTCCGCCTGTACCAGAACTGCCTCTTCTCGAGGAGCGGGGGGGGGGGGGGGGGGGGGGCAGTTTCTTGCTGTGATGCGGATGGACCAGGCCCGGAGACCTTCCCTGGAATTCTGTACAAGTGGAAATGGGCTGGGCAGATGGAGGAGGCGAGCTGGAGGCTGCACAGTGTCGGGCATACACCAGGGTATCATCGGTGACCCAGGACTTGCTGAGCCATCACATTTCACCCCAGGGTGCTGCTGTGCGGTGAAAACTGCAGAGTCAGGGACCGCAACTTTGACAAGAATCTAGCTAAGGAAAACCTCCCTCTCACCCGCGCTGGTCTCAGCACGGGGATAATTAAAAGGGCAGTCAGTGAATCGGGATCAGCAGAGCATGCTGGCCAGAAAACCGCCCGAATAAAAATGGAAAGCTGCTCTGAAACAGGACATCAGAACAGCAAAAAGTTAGTGAGCAGAAAAATTATGTCAAATGGCTTTGCTGCCCCCTTGTGTCGAGTTCTGGCATTTTCCCCAAAAGTGTAGATGACCCGTCTAATGAACACACTGATCACTGCTCTTAGGAGTGCAGAGCGGGGCACTATGGAAATCTGTGTGGAAGCTGCTCAGGAAGCCAGAAAGGAATCCACCACGTGATCTAGCTATAGAATTCTGTCCCCAGATGACTCCTTGTCCCACTATCGATAGGCTTTCATCCATGTTCACCGCTGCTCTATTCATAACAGCCTAGGTGTCTGTCAAGGGAAGCACGCACAGCGATAATGCAGCATGTAGACTATGGAATCTGCAGGTGGATGGATGAGGGTCGAAACAATCATCTGGGTGAGGCGACCCGGGCCCAGAAAGACAAATGTGCCATGCTTTCTCTAAATTGTAGATATTTACTTTGACTCTTTAGATACACGTGCTTCATCTGGAACATCTACGGAGGTCAGAAAATTAGCAAGGGGCCATGGCATGGAGCTTCCAAGGGAGCAGAGATAGAATGAAGTGATATGAAAAGGTAAAGGGCAGTAACGGAAAAGGAAGGGGTTGGGAAAGAAGGGAATACGAGGGGTAAACGGCACTAGAGAGCTTTGATAAGAATCGCGTGGAAGGCTACTGTTATAGAGGCTTCTTAAAATGCACATGTGCACATATGAGAAGACCTTAAACGGAGCTGCTCTATAAGGATGCCACAGGCTAACAAACAAAAGGCCCAGTTTCCACAATGGTAACCACTTTGGGATTTGTTGGCCACGGGGTTCCCATACACCCCCAAACATTCCAGGTCATTGTCAATGTTCTTGGTCAGCACCCAGAAACGGATTATAAGACCCTCCTGACAAAGACACCACGTACTTTGAGTCGTAGAACAAAAAGAAATCATAGTGCTGGGTGGTGCCTGGTATGTACCGAAGGAGAAGTAGCCAAAAATCTTACCTGGCTGTAAACTCTGAAAGCTACAGTAAAGGCAGGCCCGGCAGGACGCACCCACTGGTGCGACAGTAGGAAGTCGCGGGGGCAGAATAACTACTTTCTGATGGAATTTAAGGCCCGTCCATAAGTTGAAACCCACACCTGGAACCAATACCAGGCCTAAGAATCTGGGGCTAGACAGATCATGGGTACTAGGGGAGAACATAATACTATTCTGAAAAATGGCCACAGTGTTAACCTACTCCTAATGGTCTCTCCTTACATCCTTAGATTAGTTACCTCTCAGCCTTCGTCAAATTCACTCCTTTCTTCAAGAGGTAATGATTGACACCGAGACCCACAACTGGTAAGGGTCCAGAAACAGTAACAAACTGAAATGCTTGGCCCTAAATGGGACATCTGTTTCACACCCACTCCTCCCAAGCAAGGCTCAGGAATCATTTCAGAAGGATCAGAAAGGCTGTAAAGCCAGAGGTGGTAGATGACACAAGGAAACTGTTTTCCAGAGACATCGGGACATTTGACCTATGAACTCACGGCAGGTGTGATACCATGCATAAGACCTGCACAAGCTCAGACTAGACAAAATCCCAATATGGAGATGAGAGGTAGGCATGAAGAGCTACTGGAGACTGGCGGCTGCTGGGAAGGAAAGGAGTCAGTTTTCTTTAAGGACACGGCCCCTGGTAGAGCATCCAAATTCCAGTGGAAGGCCAGACATACAGAAGTTTATGAGCAACACAAATTGGAATTGACGGGTTAAAAAAAAAAAAAAAAACAAGGACACAAAGTTTGGTGGGTAGGGTAGGGGTAGATCTGGGAAGAGTTGGGAGAAGGGGTGAATATGATCAATGTTTTTCAAAACTCTTAAAGAACCAATTAAAAACAAACAAATAAACAATAACAAAGTCTCAAGCATTTGCCAGGCCTGCTAACAATCAAACGCAACGGGGAGTTGACACCGCCAATGTACTAGCAGAGAGTACCTGTCTGTGCCTGTATTCCCCAGACAACTCAAGAGCGTCCACTGCTACCCCAGTATGTAAGGCAGATGGACATAAGGCAAGAGGTTTTTTTGTGCATGTTTGTAGTCAGTAAAAATGCCTAGCTTCTAAAGAAGCAGCTCTAGACTCCTAATGAAGAAAGAACTAAGAATTCTTGGCTGTAAAAGTAGGGGGCAGGGAAACACTGATATTATTAGGAACTTAGCACAGGAACAGTTTAACATGGATAATCTCAATTTTTAAAAGGTACTGAACTGTTTGATGTGTTAAAACACCCATTACAAACCCTGCTAAATTCCAAAATGCACTTCAATGAAAACGTTCTATTAAATTAAACATATTTCATCTCTGAAGGAAGAGTGGACTTCCTTCACTGACCAGAACCATTCAAATGCTATGGCTTTTGCCCGCGTAGGTCCTGGCTTTGTCTTCTGGAACATAGGTGCTGGGAAGGACGCGGGCTCCACCTGGTTTAGCAGCTTGCAGTAACCTGTCCCAGCAGCCCAAGCCCGTGTGTGAGCCATTGTGTGTGGAAAGCTGGAGCTCGGTGCTGCCAACGAGCACAGCCCACAAGATTCGCCCTCCCTCACTTCCGTTCCCCAAGGCTAAGGATACCTGAAAAAGCGGCAGGGGTTCCAGACAGGCTAGCGTCAAAGACCAGGCAAAGGTGGTTAGCTAAGCCACAGGCCAATCGCTGTCCATCCCCTGTTTAAAAAGACAAACAGCTCAGCAGAGAGGTAACACACTCATCAGCTGACAGGCAGAGAAGAAGATTCTGTGGAGGTCGAGCGCCACTCTTCCCTGTGAGACATGGTAAGACACGGCTCACAGGCCGGTGTCAAGGCCACCTTGTGATGCCCCTGTGGTCACGTCTCTCTAGCCTCTGTCTGTGGAAAGCCATCTAACCAGGTTCCTGTGTGAAGAGGTCATCATGGAAAATGTGCGAGCCACCACCCCCCCCCCCCCGGCAGTACTGAAGGGCAGAAGCACCCCGTGACAGCCCTCATCAAGTACAGTTAAAGCCTCACTTCACTCCAGACTCAAACCATGCCTATCAGTACAGGTAAGTACCGGTCACTTAACTTCATCGTCAGCTCGACTGCAACTGGAATCAACTAAAACCCAAGCAGCTGGGCATACCCGTGGGGGGGTGCAGATTCTTGACTGAATCATTTGATCCTAAACCTGGATCAGCTGGGGTCAGAAGAGCCACCCTAACTACATAGGGGGTCACACCTGGCGGCGACCTGCACAGAACAATATGAAAGGAGGGAGCGCTTGCTTTCTGCCTCCTTGCCCTTCAATGTTGCTGACACATTCATCTATCCTGCTGCTCAGGCGTTCCTTCGCTGGTCTCAGAACCTACTTCTTCGGGATTCCAACATGGCCTGAAGACCAGATTCGTGAACTGAACAACTACTGGATTCTTGGCCTTTCCTTCAGGAAATGGACATTGTTGAACTAGGAGGACTATGATCTGTAAGCCATTCAGATCCCACATATCTGTGTGTGTGTGTATATATATATATATATATATATCAAATATCCCATTTATGCTTTCTCTAGAGACTGAAACCAAGATCTTCAAAAACGAATTCACACCAGGACATTGGACAGATCCAGTTGCAGTTACGAATTGCAAATGGTTCCAAGAGGAGGCTTACCTGAGAATTGCAGACAGCTCACAGCAACAGGCTCCTGGGCCACAGCAACCTGCCTGCTGAGATTCCTGGGTAGGAAACTCTCCAAAGAATACTCCTTACTTCAAGGAAGGTCATAGTAGAGAGAGAGAGAGAGAGAACTTCAAAAGAGATTAGAAATAAACTGGGCATTAAGTATATATAAGTATATATTATATATATATATATATGGATATATTGGATATATCCTTTTATATGATTAAAGCTGAAAAATCTGTATAAACTCTTACAGTCACAACCATGAACAACTCTTTAAAACAGATTTGTATTCTGTATTATCACAGATATGTTATCTTTGTGGGTTTGTGTGTAGTGTGAATTGTGTAGGTATGCATGTGTGAGTGCAAGTACGTATTGTGCCCGTGCATAAAGACACCAGAGGTCAACCTCAGATGTCATTCTTCAAGCTCTCATGTGGGTGCTAAGGATGCAAATTCAGACACTCTTGTCTGCATAGCAGGTGCTCTGAACCACTAAGCCATCTCCGAAGCCCCTAGTTTCATACATCTATGGGTTGGTATTATAATACTAACTACAGTACTGTTCAACTTACACTGGAGTCATGGCTTGATAAACCCTACGCTGGAAACGCATGTTGCATACCTAACTAGAGATGGGCAGGGCTCCACCGAGCCTTCTACGGACTTGTCCAGACACCGGCGCAAGCCACTGCAGGTACACACACTCAATACAAAGTGACGTAGCAAGAGCAGTAGACAAAAGCAGCTCAGTCTCATCAAGGAACATTGTGCATACGTGTTAAAGCATCACACTGAGCCCCGGTAATGGATGCGACTGATCGAGCTCAATCACAAACACTCAAGGTCCCAGTGAGCATTTCTGTAAACATCGTCATTGTGCAAAGGTAGGTGTGGGGTACATAAACATGAGTGCTAAGGTAGGCAGCCCGTAGTCCCTTTTTTCACCGTGTATCTTATATGTTCGTCCTATATCATATAAAGTTCGGCCTGAGGCAAGCCCAAGGCCCCAAACTCTTTGTACACTCAGACTATGTTTGCAGCATGTCCAGGTCAATGAACCAGCGATGACCACTGAGAAGCTACACTGGCTCTGCAACTGTCCGAGACATGAGATGGTCAGCCATCAGGCACAGTGCTTTCCTACAGCTGCATTCTAACAAAACCTGGCTACCTCAAAACATAATAAAAAGAGCAGCATATCCAAAGAATTACTAAAGTGATACAACCATATTTGATTTGAAGGATGCGTGTCAAGGACATATTTGTATCCATATTTATGCATATATGGACATATATCTGTTTAAAGAATCAAGAAAGCCCTTTAAGAATGTTTCTAAGTTGCTTTAAATTTACTTAATGCACGCGCCCAATTACATACCATTTGTAATTGTTCTTGTATTTTGAAGCTCTTTTGCTTTTATGCTTGATGTTCGTTTTGGGGGAAAACATAGTCACACTGGAAAGAAAACACATATACACATGTATATATATCACTCTCGACAACTGGGATCCTAAATTTCTTACGATATTTACATTTCACAAGGAAAAAAATTAAACATGTACAAACTTACATCTTTTTTTTTTTCAGATTCCTTCTGTTCTTCTTGAATCCAAGTACATTCACCCTGACTTAGAGATGTCACAATGCTACACAACTCCTCTTTGGTGTGACCCTACCTAGCCTAAAGCTTCTCAGCTCAAAGTCCCAGGGAGCATCAGGGCCACCACAGCCTAGCACCATCATCCAGTGTGGGTCCTCAGAATCCATACTTAACCTCGTAGATTAAAATGCTGTGTTGTTCTTCGAATGCATGGATTTCCAGATCCATCCATCTGCCATCATTCAGGGATATCCTCTCTGGACCACATTGCCATCTATGAAGCTCATGCTCAAAACTACACTATGCGATCAAACTCAACACACAAAAATCTCACATGCCTCTAAGTGGATCTGTGGTTTGTGCTGGCTACAGTCATACCTGTCCTGGAGCTTACGTGGCCAATGGGCTGCAGCTGGTGCACACTTGTGACTAACTGGTGCCTCTGTTGATTATCTTTCCATCTAGTTATCCCTCCATCCACCCATCTCTCTACCCACCCATCCATCCTTCCTTTTATTTACCTGACTATTCATGACTATCTTATTGGAGAGTTTTCAGGAGCCAAATGCTGCCCCAAACACGGGCCTATAGGATAGACAACGAGTAACACACAGCATCCACGGTTGTTGTCATTAGGGAAAGAAAAAGAGTGGTAAAATAGGGGATGGCTGGCTGAGGGGGTGACAGAGTTGCTGTTGCATACAGGGAAGGCCTGAGCAGGGTCTGGAGGCTGGGGTGAGAGTGGGTGAGGGTAAGGAGAGAGCATTAACTGGGGGACGATAGAGACCCCACCTAACCCTACCACATGTTATAAGTGTAAGAAGCCCATGGGGCTCCAGACCCTGGGGCAACTTTGATTACTGTGTTGAAGACACACATGAGGTCTAGCTTCGAGATAAGAGGGTGGTGTGACTACACATTGTAAAGAAAGACAAATTTGCCTTTGAGAATTTTGAAGCTCTTGAAGGACTGGGAAACCCATGATGCTTGGTATTTTATGGTTTATAAGTAGCCTCAGCATTAGACTTGTTGCTTCAGATTTTAAATATCCCGAGTTTTAACACCCTGACATGGCAACAAAGCTGTGCTAATCAAAAGGTTGTGGTCTAAGATGAACTCACTGATGGGCTACACAATCCCACTCAGCCAGGCCTAAAAACACACATAGGAGCTCAGCAGCCTACGTTTATGAGAAAGAGAGACAGAGAGAAAAGACAGAGAGAGAGAGATGTTGCAGAAGATTCTTGGCCCAGAGGATCCCACTGCCCTTGGAGCCCCAAATGAACACACAGGCGCTATATTAGTTATAAAACTGTCAGCCGGTGGCTAGGGCTTCTTATTGGCTAGCTCTGTCTTAATTATTAACCCATTTCTATTAATCTAAGTATTTCCATGTGGTCTTATCTTACCAGAGAAGGGTCTGGACCTCTGACTCCTTTGGTGGCTCACATGACAACTGTTCTGCCTACCTTTCCCAGAATTCTCCTCTTAACCTAGTCCTGCTTATCTTCCTGCCTTACTGGCCAAGTTTTATTCATCAACCAGCAAGAAAAAACATATTTACAGAAGGGCAACCCCCATTGAGAGAGAGAGAGAGAGTCCAGCCAGGCCGTGGTGAGCTACCTCACTTTTCCACACCTCCAGCTTCTCGCTCACCACAACAAACCTGATGATTTGACCAGAACACAAGGAGCTGAGCAGAGGTCAGCAGCCAGTAAGAATTTAGCAAATGTTAACTGCACAGCTGGTACCCTTATGGTGACCGTGGTACTCTGGGGTCTAGCTCACATTTTAACCTGTCTTAGGTCCCTGCCTGCCCTGTTCATGGTGGAAACCCTCCAAAGACACATTAGTGTCCAGACAAAACCCCATCTCCACAGCGTTCTGGCAGGTCAGTTCTACCACTGACAGACATATGATGGCTGGTACTTACTGTGGTGCCGATGTATAGCCAGACGACCTAATTTTAGTGTGGAAAACCAGGGGCCGGTCCTCCATGACACTCCTCACAGCTGTGTGACATGAAGAAGAAGCAGCAAACATTTAACGTCACGAATCACCGTCCCCCAAACCAGGAAAGTTCTGACAGGACGACCCTCTGACCTGATGAAGTGAAAAGACTCCATGCAGAAGTCAAGCCAAGGAAAAACAGCCAAAAGTTCATCAAGGAGATGAAAAGTACAAGAAAACAATGCCAACTATACTAAACCATGTTACATGTAACACCATGTATTTCTTTTTCTCTTTTTCTGTTTGTTTTTTTGGGGGATAGGATTTCTCTGTGGAACAGTCGTGGCTGGCCTAGAACTCACAAAGTTCTGTACACCAGGCCGGCCTCTAACTCACAGAGATTGGAATGCCACCACCTCCCAAGCACTGGGATTAAAGGCGTGTGACACCACACCCAGGTAACAGCATGTACACCAAATGCATTTGATCTATGGTCCAGCACGGGGTCCCTGGCGGAATGGACCACAGTATACTGGCTCACCCTGACATGAATTCCACTGAACGTACAACCAGGAAGAATGATAGTGCAAACAGGGGCAGGCTGCCTGCCCCATAAATCAAATTCAAGGATTTAATGACTTTTGTGCCTCAGAATGGGGTGCTCCAGATGATAGGGACCCTAGAAACACAAGGGACATTTAGCGCCTCTTCCTCTAAACCAGACCTGGGGAACTAGAAGAGGCTGGGCCAGTAGCCTGGGGGTAAAAAGGCAAGGAAATGTGTAGATGTGGTGAAGATATACAGAATTTATCAGTGGGACTGACTGGTGGGAGCCAGGGGGAGGGGCGTTGTTAATCTTAAGTCAGTCAGTCAAGAGGCTTTATGAGACTGTGAGTTTGCATTGGTCAATGAAGCACTCACCGGTGAATGCCTCCTATAATAAAAATAACTGGGGCACCATGAATTCTGCCGTCTGAACACGAAAGATAACTTTAAAAATACACTTTGAAAAAAAAAAAATCAATGTGAGGACTATTTGGTCGCAGTTCCCAACAAACCAACCGGCAATATCATTGCATTACAGCCTTACTGATACAAGAGATCCCTGCTAGTTGTGACAGGTATGTTTTGGTCAGATGTTTCAGAAACGCACACTGAAGGGTGCACGATGCAATAGCGTGCTGTTGAGCCACCCAGGGTTCACCACTGGTGCCACCACCGCAAGTCCCCCAAGAAACCACGTCGGTATTGAGACACGCGCCCTTGAGTTCCTGTGAATTACGACAAACTCGGTGGGGGGGGGGGTGGATGGATGGAGTGCATTCCCAACCTGTGTGCCTGTGTTTCAGAGGGTGTGACACTAACCGTGTCTTTTGGCGTTAGCAGGCTTAGGAGAGTTTTCCTTAGTAACTCCAAAGCACAGTGGAGAAGTTGGAAGGACGCAGGAGCTAAAATAAAGACAGCCACACTGTGAGAGCAAACGATGATATGGCAGGACTGTTTCAATGCGACGTACATTTTTAAGGACAGTGTGAGATTAACTCAGGCAATTATGTAGGCTTACAATATCTGGAAATTAAAACCACCACCGTCCTTATCTTTATGAGAAAAATACTGACGTACTTCAATAAAGGTGCCACTTTTATAATTTACATTCTACTTTGAAATAAACTAGCATTTTACGTTACACTATGAGCCATTTAGGTTTCAGTACAGTAAAATCATGGCATAAAAAAATTAGTCCTTTCATTGAGCATTAGTGTGGTTGAGTTTCCATTGTTTACCAGCAGGCAGGTAAGCACCCACACACACAATGCAATATGTACCTTGCCAGCACGGAAAGCGTCCTTCCGGCACCAGGGCACCTCTGAGAGCTCAGCAGAGCAGCCAGACTGATTTCTAACACGGCAATCTTATTTCCAAACATAGATGCAAGGATGCAAAATGCCTGTGGGACACTTAAATGATTAGCAGCATGGCTGGACGGGGGCCTGTGGATGTGCCCCAACTCTCCAGTCACAAACACAACTGTGACAGATCTGCTTGACATGTACAAGGAGGGGGAGACCCGTGTGCAATAAACCACAGTTTCACATGATCACCAAGAGGGCACGGGGAAGTGCATGGGACAGGCATGCCCGCGGCGCAACTGTCACCACTCACCTTGGGACCCGTGGCCTCACTCATGATTGCACAGGATCCAGCAACTTGAACGCTCAGGCTCTGGAATTCTTGATGTTCGTCAAAATAGATATTGGAGATGTTGATAAATGGAAACGAGTAGCTGACTCATTTGTTCAGCCTAGTTAGAAGTACCACATCTAGTGTCCTTGTGCTATAAGATGTACACCTGGTAGAGAAGCCCACAGTTGGGGATAGGTGTGGACAGATAGTCAGCTGGTAAGGAATCCAGACATGGGCCAGAGCACAAACTGCTGGCAAGGGTTTGTAGCCAGAGCCCGCTGCCGAGAGGAAGTACAAAGGGCAGGGACACAGAGCCTCTGGGACACAAATCAAAGGCTGGCCAGGGGAAGGGGGGTTTGTGCTGAGCCATACATTTACCCAGCTGGGGTATGGGGAAGCAGGGGATCACAGCAAAGTCACGTTTTCAGAGCGCCTAACTAGAGTGGGGTGTTATGGGGAAGAAAACTGCAGGGAAGGACCAAGCAGGAGCCCTGGTTACCCCGAACAGCAGGCAAACCTCACAATCTAGAGAGGGTGCAAGTCCACACTCAGGAGAACCCCCTGCCCCCCACACAGACTGAACAGAACTGGGGCACACGAGAGCCTGGGGCTTCTTGGCAGGAAGGGGAATGGGTAAGGGCTCCTACTTTCTTCCAGGGCTGGAGAGAACAACTCCTCCTGTATGTTGTCTAGACCAGTGCCAGGTATTCAGAGTGAAATCCCAGCAGCTCTGACAGAGCCTGTGGGAGCCCGTGGGAGCTTGTGGGAGCCTGTGGTACATACATGCCTGATACACGAAGGTCTCTAGATGCCTGACACATGGGGGCGGGGGAGGAGGGGGCTTATAGGCTCCCAACTCAAAGACAGAAAGAGAGCTTTGCAGGAGCCTGGCGCAGTTGAATGAAGGAGGGTTTCACACAACCCTTGCACACAAGGATGGGGGGTGCTCACGGGGCCTGAGGGACACACTTGGGAGACGGAAGTGCTGGATGTTCCTGAAGATCATAACTAAATCCATGTCAGTCAGACTCCGCAGCACAGAGGTTACTGACAGTCTGAGCAGGTGCCATGTTTGGGCTACTGATACACTTATCCTCAAATTCAAAGATTACTGAATTCAAGATCTCACCCTTGAAATGTAAAGCAGCTTCCAATTCGACGCTCGCCAGGTTAATTATGAATAAAGCCGTCGAGCTTCCAATCCACAGGCATTTGGTGCCCTCAGGAGAAAAACTAACCTTAGAAAGAAAGAAACAAGCAATCTTCCTCCAGGTTAGCGCCCCGACATCCCCCAGAATTCCTGTTCCTCAACACGGTGGGGGCGGACGCACACCTGTGTGACCAACACAAAGGCTGTGTCCACCGGACACTTCTTCAGCTAGACACTTATCCCTTAGTTGTGCTCGGGGATGCGGTGCTGGCTTTCAGTGCAGCCATTCCTGTCTATTAGTATCCCCGAGACACACAGCGTGGCCATGGCTCAGTCCTGTGTGGTCCGTATTTCCTCCTGAGTTTACGGAAGCCTGCAGATCATGTGAGGATGTAGGCAGGTGCTCAGACCAGTGCTGCCGGTGACCACGGTGGCGGAGGAGCTGCAGACAGCCCTGGGGTCTGCGGGACACAGCCCAGGGGACAGCAGAGCCACTCTGGGTGCATCCTGGAGCGGCAAAGCCCCGGAGGATTGGCTCCAGAAGCCCCCTGCTTCTGCTGTGTTCCCGCTGCAGTTGGCACGGTTACCACATGAAGGGACCCCACTGTGTCTACTGCAGCGTGGTTGTTTCTTGGGGAAGTCCCACTCCTCACTGGACAATTTACCACAGCACGGCTTGAATAAAACTGGCAAAATGTACTAAAGCTAAGAGTTAAAACATGCGATTTTAGGAACACGGTCAGCAGTAACAATAAGAGAAAAACTTGGTGTTTGCTTGCTTCAACCCTTCATAAAACTGAACCTAAGGCTCGCTTAAGAAAGTTAGCGGCCCATAGCTTTGGCCCTGTTGCTCATACATACACTCCACACTGGGAATCCTGCAGGCAGAGGTGTGCCAGGCTCAGGACCGGGAATGTTGCTTCAGCTTCTTCCTTTTTATCCACCTCATGGCTGGAGTGGTACCGGCTGCCTTCTAGGGAACAGAGTTACTGATTACCTAAGAAGCAACGCTGCTTGGCGATCAGCTAATGGGACAGACGCAGGGACGCTTCAGAAATAACACGTGAACAGAGTGAATCGTAAACCAGAAAAGCATTTAGGCTAAGAGAAAATAAAGCTAAGAATGAAAAGGGAGTCCCAGATTGAGTCTAAAAGGGATGGGGAATGGGGGAAAGAGACTGTCCATCCATAGAGGTTAATGCCGCGACTCCTAAAATGGATCTAAGCTGTATTAAAGGATGAGCGACTGTTTATTAAAAACAACAACAATCATGGCTTAATAGATTTGGAGGAAAGGTAGGACAGTAATTTCTGACCTTATTTAAAAAAAAAAAAAAAAAAAAAAAAACATTTAAAGCCATACAAAAAACATAAACTAAGGAAGGAACGGATACCCATAAGAACAAATAAATAGGGCAGGAAAGTGACAAGGGACCCACAACCACAGTGGCTCTCAGCCTCGCTGAGAAAAGACACCATCACTCCTCACGTTAAGGGGCCTAGAGCAGGTGAGCGGAGGTGTAGAGGAGACAGATAAGGATGCAAGTTTGGACCACAGAGCCGGTGAGGAGCTTAGGGGAGTAGGCAGGGGTCGGAAAGCAGGGCCTGAGACCCGAAGGAGGAGATGGGTGAGCATCTGAAATGGAAACAGTGAAGCAATACCCTGGGGACAATGCGCCAGTTTCCTCAGATGCTCCACTCAGACGGCTGCAGGGCCTGCCCTCCTGAGCCCCTGCACTGATGACAACCCAAGGGTTTGTGGTCTCCCGCCCGCCCTCAGAGTCACTCTGTGAGCCAGCCTCCAGCCCGGGGCACAGAAGCTATGGGGCTCCGTGGTGTCAGACGTCAGGACCCACGGCCTTTCCCAAATCGGAAGCTTCCCTAGTATTCCTTCCCACCCTGCCCAGCGGAGGCCCTGATGTGCGCCCCGAGGTGCTGTGTGCACGCGGGAGGCCGACAGGGCACGAGAAGCCCACCTGGTAGACGGCAGTGCTGCCCAGCCACCGCTCTTCGGGTGGAGAAAGTCTCGCTCTTCTTCTTGAGGTCCACGTGAGCCACGCGGTGGTAGTGATGTCCGTCCGTCAGGCTGAAGATCCACAGCTGGAAGAGCAAAGACACAGGTCCCCTTCAAGAAGCCAGTGACACTTACTGTAAGACGACGCAAAGGGAAGATGCCGAGCAGGCGAGCAGCACCACATATGCTCCGGGGCCCCCAGACACTTGGGCTGCGCTGCCGGGGGCGTTGCTTTTAGCCCCTCTTTGAAAGCAGCGCAGCTTCTGAGCAGGTGCTTACAGGGGTGGGGGTGGGGGCACAATCTTGTCCAGAACCTTAGGTCAGACATGGCTGTGAGTCACTGTCATACAGAGCCACCTATGGGGGCCCCGAGATCACTGACACACAGCACATGCTACAGAATTTGAGCCGCGAGCTCTTCTACCCTGTCACTGGGCCCTAGCACACAGGAGATTGGCAGCTGAGCTTAAGAAAAAGAAAACAAACTTAGCTTAGCTTCCTGATGTGCAACTTCATCGTGTCTGCATCAATGGCATCTTTATAAACTAAACCTAAAGTGTCTGCGTTAAAGTCTTTAAAATAAATATCTTCGGTTTTAAAATCCTCTGACGCTAATGGCTGAGCAAGTGGTTGCAGCTCTCGCTACATTCAGTCAGATACTGCATAGCAGCCTTAGAGCATGTCGGCCAAGGTCTCTGCCACTGGTCAGAGGCCTCCAAACACCACCAACCCCACCACCGCGCTGAGATGCACCGCGGGACACAGCCTAGGACACGGCGTAAAACAGAGACCGTGCACGTGCTCACATTTACGTATGTTTGAAACTCGGGTGTAACTGCAGGGTAGGGCTCTCACCTGGCCATCAGCGCTGCCAGTGACCAGCTGCTGGTTTTCTTCATTGATAAGCAAACTCAGGAGAGGGTAAGCTGAGGGGGGGAGCATAGGGCAGTCGGTGTGGACAGTGCTTCTTCTAGCTGACTTAGCACTATTCCCAATCTTTATAACGGGAGGCAAAATTATAAATGAATATAAATTTGAAAACATTCATGAGCAAGAGAGAAAAAGGGGATGCTGTCCCAAATAAGAATGGTTGGTGGGATGTTAGATGATGGATACACAGACATATCAAAGACAGACAGACAGACAGACAGACAGACAGACAGACAGATAGATAGACAGACAGATAAGATAGACAGACAGACAGACAGACAGATAAGATAGATAGATAGACAGACAGACAGACAGATAAGATAGATAGATAGATAGATAGATAGATAGATAGATAGATGACAGATAGATGATTGGTTTAAAAAGAAAAGAATGGTGGGTATGAGTTATAGTTTGTGGGTCCTGGTTAGCCCAAACCCATCTCCCCATATTGAGCAGGTCCAGAGCAACTGTCAGTAGTCTGGAGGAAGGAAGTATACTCAGCTAGCATTTTAAACGGGGAAAAACGTTCCTTTAGACCAAAAACAATGGCATCATAGACTTAGTGATTTAAAAAAAAAAAAAAAAAAACAGAAGTTAGATGGATGTCTTACAAAAAAACTAAACAAAAGAACTCCCTAAAATTTAATTTTAGTTAAAATGTAGTCTAAAGTATCAAGAACTTGGAACAACTAGATAAACAGAGGTTGGGAAACTTTGTCCTAATTAAGCTACAAATGACACTGGTAGTGAGTCTATATCACAGTCTGCAATTGTGTTCCTCAATCAAATTGTTCCACAACATTGTCTTCAGGAAAATCCAAGAAACCTCCAGAAAATGTGCTTCAGGCCCAAGCTTCGTGACCAACGCCAGGCCATCAGAACACAATATTCTACATGTGGGCAACTGACCTAAAAACGCTCAGTCTTGGAAAAACGCAGCAGTGACTCTAGCAGGATGCCAAGGCATCTGTGCTGTCCGTGGCTGGCATTTACGTGAGGCATCTCAGAGGAAAGGGAAGAGGCCCTGACATAGGCCACCCTGCTTTCACCACAGCACATGGAGGGACGTGGGGAGAACTCCAGAAGCAACCCCGGAGATGCAGGGAGGAAATACGGGGTCCCAGGTGAAATGTTCCTCTGGCTCGCACACAACACCCCAGGTTCCAGGAGAGCCAGGCTATAAGAAACTGGTCTTCTGAACAATCAGGGGTTTTTAAAAAAATTGATGAGAGAAACAATTATCCTAGAATTCTTAGGATGGACAAATGCTTCCAGCCTAACCAATGGCTTACCTGCCGCCCAGTCCTCCATTTACTGGTAAGGAAGGTGTCCCGCCAGACTTTTCCAGCTCTGTGCCTCTCCACAGGACAGCAGGGGCCTTTATCTGAGAGCCAACCTGCTCCACACACTTAACTGAGAAATGTATGTATATGAGTGTGTGTGTGTGTGTGTGTGAGTGTGTGTGTGTGTGTGTGTATGCGCGCGCATGTGCGCGTGAGTGTGTATAAAGTAAAATCCTCAGAGACAGTGACTGGAAAGCTCATCCACTCTGTATACAGAAGTAATCAGAAATCAGAATTGACAGCTACACACAGATGAGGCTGGTGATTACAACTGCCACACCCGTATGCCTGGGGTGATGGCCACACTCAGAAAGTGTTTACAGAGACTACTCAGCCAGAATGTAAAACAGTCTTGGATTTACCTGTTAAAATGGATGAGCTGTATATCAAGGATCCCTCACAATAGTCCCAGACCTTTAAATGAAACACATTTCTTTAAGAGGCATAAAATGTTGTTATTATTGTTAGACCAGAACTAAAGTTTAAGCAATTAAAAATTCATCTGTATAAATAACAATTAAAGAATTAAGACCCACATGGTGAATCCCTGCACTGCACTATTAAAAACTCAAGACTTCCATACATGACCACTTTTGGATACCTAACAGAGAGCAATTCCTGAGCATGTAGTCAATACTCCAATTAGCAGCCTGGTGATGAAGTATTTGTGTGACCCTGGGTCTGTGCCCCAACTGTAGAGGGTGCTCATGCGCCGCAGGGCTGCATTCCAACCATGACAGTTTGCTGTACCCACAATCCCTTCCGTGGTGGGCACAGCTCCAGGGACATTCCAAAATATCAACTCTCTTCATTCTCATGACCACCAGTGAGACAAGAGGCCCTGTTGTGTCTATTTGAAATATAAAACTAAAGCTCAGCATAGTTATCCAAGTATGTCAACTTGGATTTCTGCCCCAACAGCTGCTGTCCCCAACCCCCAGAGGAAGTCCAGACCCACCAGGTCTCATCAGATGGGTATTTTAAAATGACCACAGTATGGATTTTCGCAACTTCTGTGGTTTGATTCACATGTGTGACTTTCAGCTTTTCTTGTAGGACAATGATAAATGCCCATCCTTTGTTAGTAAAATCATAGTAACACTAGCTAACTTAGGACTGCTCAGATGTGAACCTACATTTTTCTTTTTTTTCTTTTTTCCTTTTTTTTTTTTTTTTTTTTTTTTTTTTTTTTTTTTTTTTTTTTTCCTGAAGCTTACTTTAGTTCAGATTGAATCCTCTCACTGGGGACACTGGATCCTTGGCAATATTGCAGATATACATTTCCCCCTTTAGATTTAGATATAAAATAGTCCCCACAGTTGCCCAATGTCCAAATGCTGGAGACCCAAGAAATGCACTAAGGACTATCTCAGCCCTACCAGAACATCAAAACTCCACTTTTGTGTGGGTGAGGAAAAGCCTCATCAGGTAAACACTTTAAATTGTATTCATTTTTATTTTATGTGTATGAATGCTTTGCCTTCATGCATGTATGTGCACTGCATGTGTGCAGTGTCCATGGAGGCCAGAATAAGGCATTGCATCCCCTGGAACTACAATTCTAGACAGTGTGAGCCACTGTGTGGGTGCTGGGACCAAGTCCTGGTCCCCTGCAGGGACAGTGGTGCTCTTAACCACTGGTCCATCTTCTCTCCAGCACAGCAGTAACAATAGAACTGTAGCAGGCAGATATGCCTACAACATCCCTGTGCCCACAGCATCCCTGTGTCCAGAGCATCCCTATGCCCACAGCATCCCTGTGCCCACAGTATCCCTGTGCCCACAGCATCCCTATGTCCAGAGTATCCCTGTGCCCACAGCATCCCTGTGCCCACAGAATCCCTATCCCCACAGCATCCCTATGTCCAGAGCATCCCTATGCCCACAGCATCCCCATGCCCACAGCATCCCTGTGCCCACAGTATCCCTGTGCCCACAGCATCCCTATGTCCAGAGTATCCCTGTGCCCACAGCATCCCTGTGCCCACAGAATCCCTGTCCCCACAGCATCCCTATGTCCAGAGCATCCCTGTGCCCACAACATCCCCATGCCCACAGCATCCGTATGCCCACAGCATCCCTGTGTCCAGAGCATTCCTATGCCCATAGCATCCCTATGTCCAGAGCATCCCTGTGCCCACAGCATCCTTATGTCCAGAGCATTCCTGTGCCCACAGCATCCCTGTCCCCACAGCACCCCTATCCCCACAGAATTCCTGTGCCCACAGCATCCCTGTGCCCACAGCATCCCTGTGCCCACAGCATCCTTATGTCCAGAGCATTCCTGTGCCCACAGCATCCCTGTCCCCACAGCACCCCTATCCCCACAGAATTCCTGTGCCCACAGCATCCCTGTGCCCACAGCATCCCTGTGCCCACAGTATCCCTGTGCCCACAGTATCCCTGTGTCCAGAGCTTCCCTGTGCCCACAGCTTCTCTATGTCCAGAGCCCTGCTGCCCACCTTAAAGCTTCTGTCTTCAGACACGGAGATCAGGGTGTGTGCTCGCCAGGGACAGAACTCTACTGCTGTCACTGAGCCTTGATGGCCCTGCAGCTCCACCATCACAGACTGCTCCTAGGAGGATTTGTACAAGGTTACTCGGGGAATTCTCTAGAATAATAAACATCAACAAATCACAGTGTGCCACAGAAAAGAGAGCTTGCTGAAATAAATTCTACAAGGCCAGACAGAGGGCTAGGCAGGCAAAAGACACTTGCCATCAAGCCTGAAGACTTACCCTAACACGGTGGAAGAAGATAACCAATTCTACAGTTGTCCTCTGACCTCCACACATTCTGTGGCATGTGTGCCCGCATGCGTGTGCACATTCATGCGCGCACACACACACACACACACAGAGAGAGAGAGAGAGAGAGAGAGAGAGAGAGAGAGAGAGAGAGGAAATGTTTTTTACTTTAAAGAATAATTTCTATTGTACACATCCCTCCTTCCAAATTTGGACCTACCCTACCCATATCATCTTAGAGGTTAAAAATCTGAAAATCTAATACCCTAGCTCCGAGGGAGGTGGGTCATCAGTAAAGAAAAGATGAGAACCAGCCAAATATGACCTGGTATTAAACAGGGGGCAGACATCTCCTGGATTTCCTGTTCCCTGTGGTTTTCTTCTGACAGGCTCTTCTCAACACATGGTTCAGGGTGAAAAGTAAGTCTTTAACTACAGACTGTCCCTTTATGTCTCTGTTTCTTTCATCTGCTCTCTCTCTCTCTCTCTCTCTCTCTCTCTCTCTCTCTGTGTGTGTGTGTGTGTGTGTGTGTGTGTGTGTGTGTGCCTAAGGACCAGGATGTAGCTCTCAGCTACTACCCATGTGCCGCGTGTACTTCCATGCTCCCTGCCATGATGATAATAGACTAAGCCGCTGACACAAATACAGGTTAACACCAACTCTATTATCAGTTACAAGATCAAGATGCCCCCCATACACACACCAGCATCTTTACAAAATACATTGACCCAAACTGCCATTTTAAAAACAGAAGCAGGAATGAAAGTCGCCAACAGGAACCCAGCCTGGGAGGTGCTCCCCCCCCCCCTGCAATGTGTGCTCAGCACCTCAGCGGGATATACCTCACCTCCACATCCATCACGGATACTTTGTTTCCAGCACACACAGCCACAGCACGGTCGTCCAGACTAAATCTCAAACACAGCACTGTTTGTAAAGGAGAGCCCAGGATAGTCCCTCGAGGAGTCAGCCCTAGAGCAAATCCCACATGATAGCGTCAGCTCATCAGTCACAAGAATGGGTCCTGTACAGGTCTCTGCTCCAGAGCTCAGGCTGAGGAGCAACAGGACAGGACGTGAGCGTGGAGAGCGTGGAGAGCGTGGAGGAACACAGTCTTTCTTCTCAGGCAGTGAAGTACAGGACCAAGGTCATAAGGAAGCTGGTCTCCAGGGGGCCATGGACACGCAGAAGAGCTACTCAGACCAAGCTCTTCACCCAAGCTCTCCTTGTTCACTGACATCCAGGCTCGGGCAGTGACCAACTCCGCATTCTGCACTGACCCTCAGAAGTCATCGTTAACTAGCAAGGATGTGTCACCAGCCAAACGAAAGACCCCGTATGAGGTGGCTAAGCTTAGTTGTCAACCTGACTACATCTGGAATTAACTAAAACCCAAGCAGCTGGGCATACCTGAGAAGGACTTTCTTGATCATTTCAGGCTGGAGGGCCTGCCCTAAATCTAGAGTACACCTTCAGTGGCAGCCCACGTGAAGAGCAGAAAGAAGGGAGCTTCCACCTTTTGCCTGCTTGGCCTCACCCCTGCGGCAAATGCTTCTACCTTGTTGCTGTTGGAGCCTACTCTGCAGGGATTCTGAGACAGACTGAAGACCAGCAGCTCTCCAGGAATTCCATAGGACTCCAGCACCAAACTGGGACTAATGAGACATCCAGCTTCATGGACTGAACTACAGCCAATACTGATCTACTGGGACCACAACCTATAAGGTGCGGTAATACTCCCCTTTACACACACACACACACACACACACACACACACACACACACACCACATATTATACACACACCACACTACACACATATATACCACACACATACACCACACACACACCATACACACACACACACCACATGCACACACATACTATACACACACCACACACACAGCACACTACACACATACACACCACACACAACGTGCACACACACCACACATACTATACACACACCACACATAGAACACACTACTCACATACACCACACACACACACACACACACACACACTTCATTGTACCAGTTATCTATATTTCATTCTATCAGCTTTGATCCTTAACAGCACCCTGATTGAAATACTACAGGAAGGAGTGTGTGTGTGTGTGTGTGTGTGTGTGTGTGTGTGTGTGTGACAAACACGCCCATGGACTTGCCCTGATCTTGCAGAAGTGCCCATGTTAAGCACACTATGCCAGCCTCTTTTCAGCATCTGCAGGGTCAGCCCCCAACTAGACAGGCCTCTGCCTTTGTGGAAAATCACCACGCAGGAGGTAAAACCATAGCACAGTTAGCCCCAGGAAGCAAAACAGACAAACGAGTTACATGGAGGATTAGTTATGGCGGCCCACATAAACGTTGTGCCGCACAGAAGAGAGCGGTGAGACTAAGCAGCAAAGAGGACAGGAGGGGCCTCGGGCAAAACCCCTGTGTCCAGACCTAGGGACTCGGTGGCATTGGCTGTGACTAAGACAGAACTAAAGTAAATCGCTGCAAGGGCCGGGTCCCTGCTCCACCAGGCTGAAGGTAGAGCCTACGTGTGTGGCTCTTTCTCTTTGTGGGCGAGGGCTTGAAGGGCTTTGAGCAAATACTGGGCAGAAGCTGACTAAAGTTGAGAGTACCCTCAGGCTGCTGAATTGGGTGGTGCTATGATTAAACCCAGTCTCCTCTATGGTAGGTGTCTTCATGAGGGCTTCTGTTGCTGTGATAAAATGTGATGGCCCAAAGCATGAGGATGACAGGTTTATTTCATCTTACAGCTTGTAGCTCATTGTCCAGGAAAGTCAGGGCGGGGACTCAAGAGAGGACAAATGCAGAACCCATGAAGGGACACTGATTGCTGGCTTGCTTCCCATGGCTTGATTAGTTTGCTTTCTTATATATACCCCGGGATCACCTGCCTGGGACCACACCACCAACTATGGGCTGGGCCCTTCTATACCAATCATGCTTCAAGAGAATGCCCTACATGTCTGCCTAGAGGTCACTCTCATGGAGACTTTTTCTCAACTGAGGTTCCCTCAGATGGTTCTAGACCATGTCAGGCTGAAAATGAACTCACAGGCAAGCACTCTACCAGACAGATCACCAGCACCTCCCCATTTGACTGTTGCTAAACTGTGCTTTGTGTCTTCGTTTACCTTCAAGTGTCTTCTCTCTACATTCGTCCACGTTCCACATTATAATACAGTCCTGGGATGCAGAGCAGAGTTGAAGTGGGTCTGTTTGATTTCCAAAAACCACAGCGGTAATCAACTGGCGGTGTCCTTGCAAGGTGAGAAGCTTAAAAAACAAACAGGTTACTTACAATATCAGAAGTCTACAGAAAACAACATAATTTCAAACCTAGGCTTTTAAATGTGTTTATTGCATGTGTTGACTTTTAATTCATTAAAATCCCTGTGTATACTGGTTGTTATCATACATTGTTACAATGTTACTTGCTTCTCTTCCTTACTATGTATTAACAAATGTATACAGAGTACTCATACATTGTTACAATGCTACATGCTTTTCTTCCTTACTATGTATTAACAAATGCCTACGGAGTACTCAATGGATGCAGAAGAGGTGCTGGTTATGCTGGCAGCTAAAGAGAAAGGAGCTGGCAAAGGATGAATGACACATTTGGGCCATTAGACAGCAAGAGATACCGAGGCTCTGCTGGCCCCAACAACAAGTGAAGCTATAGGGTGGGGCTTGAGACTTCTGCTGACACTGTAAAAAGAGACTGGATAGCAAACATGCCAGGAAACTGGAAACCAGTACTCAAGTACAAGCAGAGGGAAACTGGGGTATATTTGTGTGGGAGTGTGAAGGGGAGACTAGCAATGAGAACTTGTGGGCTAGAGAAATAGCAATCATGTTAGAAGGAGAGATGGGATGGAACATACTCCCCATGGTCAAAGCAAAAAGGGAAAGCATGCAAATAGAGGCGAAGTGAGGTGCCAACAGATCAGGAGTCCTTCAGTTTTCTAGAAGCTCAAGTGCATAGAAGTTGACAATAAGCAGTTTGGGATAAGAGGTATTATTGGACAGGACAAGAAACACTACTCCTAGTAATACAGGCTTGTCCGTATGCACACAATTCTAGGTGAGAAAGACAAGAAAACTTGAAGACATGTAAGATTCAATGGCTTTTCTTGAAGGCATCAGGGTGCTGAAAACCGTGATATCGAGAGAAGGCGACTGAGGAAGTGATCACAGGACCTGTAGGCTCTTGTCTCAATGACATCATCCACAAGGGCTGGGGCTGTAGCTCAGGTAGATCTGTGATCTGTAAGGTCCTGGGTCTAACTCCTAATACTCTCAGAAAGGAGGAAAATCTCCTCAAAGGTGATTGTCAGACATTCTGTAAAACGCTGCTGAGAAGCTTAAACATTAAAAGACCTAAGAACACAGACACAGTATATACAAATGCATCCTTTTCAAGAACATATCAGAAATACCATATAGGAGGAGGGACAGAATGACCATTCTGTCACACTTGTATAGCAATTCTGAAATCAAGCTAATTGCCTTAATGATGAAGAAGAAGAAGAATGGGTGGATGAACATATTTCTTCTAGAATTGAATCCACTAAGACAACAGCATTATGCTGCCAATTCTGAGCCTTAGAATAGGAATCCAAAAGAGACCAAACTCAAGAAGCGAGGAAACACCTGTGCTTATTATGGCAAGCTACCAGAAGCAAACATAAATTATATTTGGAAGAAGAAAACTCATCCCCAATAATCTATAAAGACCTCCTTCACACCAACATGCAATGTACAGGTAAAACAAACAAAACTCCAAGAGATTCCAGCACTACAAACAAGAGGGGTGGGCCCTGGACACACACACACACACACCTGTAAAGTGAGTGTCTAAGTGGCCAGTCATCCTAAAGCACGGAAGAATTTGTAACGGGACTGCTGTACCCATCGGGAACAGCATGAAAGCATCAAGTACAGGCAGAGTGTGGTGTGATCACCTGTAGCTCTGACCATCGGCAAAGACAGCTATGCACAGGCACTTGAGAAACTCCTGGGAATTGTTTACTGAGTCTGTGTCTGTGCATCTCCTGTAAGTCAGCCACTTCCATGTGTGTACCAGAACACAGCCAAAGCACGAATAAGCAGATAAGATAAAGCAAACTCCCACCCACTGACAGAACCATGGATAAAATGTGGTCTGGTCTGTGTACTGAGACCATGGAAAGAAAGAAGTACAGGGCTCCCCTGGAATACACGTGAGTGAGAGAAACTGCCACAGAAGCGTGCACAACCTGGCATTCCATCACATCGAGTTTAAGCATGAGAGAGATGTGTGTCTGGTGCCAGAAGTCAAGATTGTACTGCCTTTGGCCAGGAGAGGAGGCCTGGGCTGGTGATGCCTTCCCAGGTGTACACACTTAGGTGTGACACTTTTCTCCTGAACATTTTATTCTTCACTGCAAAGCAAGAAAGCTCAAGCTGGAACGTGAACGGAGGACACTTCTGAGTCAGGTGAGCCTTTTCTTGCTCATGTTCTTTAAAGACTTTTTAAAGAAAGCTAATCCCATCAGGCGGCCATGACGCATGCCTTCAATGGCAGTACTGGGGAGGCAGAGGCAGACCGATGTCTGTGGGTTCGGGGCCAGCCTGGTCTACAGAGCGAGTTCTAGGGAGTTGACTCCAGACCATATGCATTGCAAACATAAGAACTGAACAATATGATTTTGCTTAGCAACATTGCTCTGCCGTAGCTCATGTTTGACTCCACGGACCCTAATGTTTCCAGGATATGGGAGAAGCAGAGAGACGGGGGAAGGGTCTCTGCAACCCTGGATTTAAACACCTTTGGTTTGTGACCTGCCTGGTGAGAAGGGCCCCTGGGGCTCCACACACAGAGACGGTTTCCATCCAAAGAAAAAGCACAGTGTTGTGTGCTGCAAGCAAGTGCGGCATGAGCCGTAGGCTTCTGGGACTCAACCACGTATCTTTCGGCAACTACATCCCTTGCGTGGCCATCAGTGGAAGGTGCCTCCATTATTGGTCTGAAAACACAAAGCGCGGGAAAGATGAGGGCAGGTACAGCAGGAAAGTCCAGTTGCTTAGCCACTATTAGCATGAGGACACATATCACACATACCCGCTCACCCCCACCTCGTCCCCAAAAAGGAAATGATACACGTGAACACGGAATGACCTTTACTCCCTTCCCATGGTCTCTATTTCACCTTCTGGGTCACTTTTAGGAGCGTGAAGGTGAACGGCCACCTCCCGGTGACCTGGCCTGAAGGAGGACCCTTGCGTAAGCGATGGGGTAATTCGAATGTAATTGGCTCCTATGAGTTCACAGGGAGCGGCACTATTAGGAGGTGTGGCTTTGATGGAGTAGGCGTGGCCTTGTTGGAGGAAGTGTGTCACTGTAGGGGTGTACTTTGAGGTCTCATGTATGTTCAAGCCATGCCCACTGTCTAGACCACTTCCTGATGCCTGCCAGTCAAGATGTGGGACTCCCAGCTCAGTCTCCAGAACCATGTCTGCCTACACAGGCTTCACCACATTAGACCCATGAGGCAGTAGGCTAGAGGAACCCCAACTGCAGGGCACAGATGAATCTGCAGGTGATTTCTGGTCATCCCGATGCCCACACCTCTTCTGTAAGCAGAGCTGATCATGTCCCCGCCCACCCTTTAAAACGTTGTCATTCGGAGGAAAAGTGTCTCCAAGAACAAACCTTCTTACTAAAACTATAAACAGTGGAATTTAAATAAAATACAGAGTAACTAATTTCTGGGCCAGTAAAACCTGTAAAACTGGGCCCTACATGCTGTCACAGTGCTGGCTGAATGGCCATGTCTAATTACAGGTGTCTCTCGTTTATATTCATGCTTGTTTTAAAATGCAACAGAGTGCAACCCAAGGCTGTTTTGTTTTTATGGACATGTTATGCCTGTCGAACTGCCCTCTTAGAATCTGTTTATGCTCAGGGTTGGTGCTGCTCTTGGCTTTGATCAGAGAAGATTCCTTTTGCAGTGGGCAGCAGTCACTGCAGAGACTAAATATAAGTGATTGTTGACTGACCAGTCATTAGTGAGGCATCGGTATTACTTACTCCCTTGGGGGCTCATGGAACATCACCGAAGGAAGAAAGGAAAGAAGGTAAGAGCTGGTGAAAGGGTACAATGTTGTGAAGTGATCTTCTGGGCAGGGCAACATCTGTGATTACCTACAGAGCCCCAAGACTCTGCCGTGGGGGTGGCGGTAAGAGTCCCCACCTCTCCCTTAGGATTTATAGCTCATTTATAGTTAGTGGTTCCTGCTGGGGGAAAGAGAGACGTTTCCTTCAGTGGCTACATCACTGGTAAAGTGCCCATGTTCCTGTATATAACCCTTCATCCACGATCCCATAAACACTCATTGGATTGCAAAAAAAAAAAAAAAAAAAAAAAAAAAAAAAAAAAGGATGGAGGAATGGATTAACCCTGTCTTGGAAAAGCCACACACACCCACACGCGCGCACACACACACCCCACAATTGCTTCATGCTGTGTACCTCCCACTAGGAGGGCATATCCTCGGGAGCCATGTCACATGTGGCCATGGTGCAAAGCCATGGTAGAATGAAGGACCTTAAAAATCAGAAATATTCCCAACTTCAACCAGCAGGGCCTTAGAACCCACATGAGCAGCCTCTGCACTCTCCGTTATACAGGAACCTAACCACACTCAGGCACTGCACTCCAGTGGGGAGCCTCACTCGGGCTCCATAAAGAGAACCACATGAGGAGGGTAGCTATGTCACACCATGCTAGGTGCCTTGACCAAACAAGTCCCTCGGAGAGGGAGTGGCTGTTTTCTACGTGGGATCTACAGAGAAACAGATGTTTGTTACCAGAAGGGAACATGCTTATTTTTCACCAAACTATTGCTCTGTCCTAGACCAGTTGTTCTCAACCTGTGGGTCACAACCCCTTTGAGTGGCGTATCAGATACCCTGCATGTCAGATATTTACATTAAGATTCATAACAGTGCCAAAATTACAGCTATGAAGTAGCAACATATGGTTGGGGGAGGGTAGGAATCACCACAGCATGAGGATCTGTGTTAAAGGGTATTAAGAGGTTGAGAATCACTGCCCTAGACACAAAACCAATCACATTACTCAGCTTCCCTGTAGTCAGGTACAACCACTACTGTGTTCTAGCAGGGAAGCAGGGACAAACATGTAGGTATAAATTACACTTTATAAGTCTGACCCCTGAAAGCCTCCCCTATATGACTCTCCAACGGTGGTTAAATGGAAAGTCTGGGGAGGTGGGAGGTTGGGGGAATAGCACAATTCACAAACATCCTACGCACACACACATCAGACAAATACGGGTAAGAAAGACTAAGTTTATTTTTTTCTAGTGCGATCACAGTGTATGTAAGGCAAGGGGAGCAAATTCAAGAAATGCAGATGAGTGACAGATCAAGAGAATTTGGTTTCAAAGCTAAATCAGTAGACAAAAACAGCCATCTCAGATACACCAGGAGCTGTACATACTACAGATATAAAAACAAGTGATTGTCCTGTATTGCCCGAGGAACATCTCTGTTAAAACTAGTTCATTGTATTCGTGTATTCTTAAGGGGGAAATCCCTGTTAACACTAGTTCATTGTATGCGTGTATTCTTAAGGGGGAAAAAAAACTGTTTCCTTCTGATTATATAATATGTAAAATGTTTCTCACTAGCTGCGGAGATACACTCATGGCACTTCATTCTTGAGTTTGGAAAATGAATCGGGCAATTCAATAGCCAATGGGCTCCCACAGAAAATAGCAGCCTTACAAATACACCTGAAGTTGTACTTGACAGCGAAAGAAGAAGTTCTCCACATTAGCTAGAAAAAGAGTTGGTTTCCAACTCAGGGACTCGGCAGACTTAGATATTGAGTCTAACTCTATGTATGTATGTATGTATGTATGTATGTATGTATGTATGTATGTATCTATCTATCTATCTATCTATCTATCTATCTATCTATCATCTATCTGCTACAGTTAATAGAGGTACAAGAACGCAGCGAGGGGACACCCAGATATCTATTACTAAGGCTTCAGTTCTTTCCTATCTTATGAAACGGGCCCAAAGAGCCTATCGTTATACTTAAGGATATAAATATATATTCTGTGCCACCACAGCATATGGCATAATGGTCTTGCTTGACTGCGTCCCCCACAAATATTTCTATGCTGAACCCTCTCCTGCAAGGTGAGGGTCTTCAGGCTCGGAGGGATGATGGGAGGTGATCTGGTGGTGAGATTTGGCGCTCCCAAGAGCTGCCCGCCTTTCCGGCACTGAGGCCGTCCGTTTATTTATAAACTAGCAAGAATCTCCAAACAGCAAACGCGGCCTTAACATCTGGAGGAGGAGGCGGGGGCGACGACAAACAATATGTTTCTGACACTGTAAAGCCTACGGCGTGCTGTGTGAAGTGGAACGGACTCGGGGGAAACCAGTCCTTACGGATAGTTTAAATGTTCCCTCTGTCTGTCAGTCTCGGTTTGGGACGCGAGTACGTCTCCCCCGATGCTGCCTGCGCTCCCGGGCCCCGGGGCTCGGCGAGCGCCCCCTGGCGGCCGCGCACACCGCCCGACGTGCTTGGCGCGTGCGCAGCCCCGGCCGGCCCCGCGGCGGGAGAGACGGCGGGGCCGAACCGCACTCGGGCGCTGGCGCGAAAAGCCGCGGCGCCGGGCGGCCCTCACCTGCCGTCCAGCCCGGCCCGCCTCCTCCGGGACCGGACGCTCGCGCCGTCCGCCTTCGCGTTACTATGGTTACGAGGAAGCGGACCCTCGACGCCACGCGGCCCTCCCCCTACTCTCGCGAGAGCCCCGGCGGCAACCCACTTCCGGCCGTTTCCCGAGGGCCCGCCTCTCGGGCTTCCGGGCCGTCACACTTCCGGGCGCGGCTTCTCTTCCGCCCGCTGGGGGCCGAGTTCCAGGTTGGGGCCGGATGCTGCGGGTGCTGCGTGGCTTGCGGGGCGTGGCGGTGAGTCCCGGGTCTGCGGCGCCAGGGGCCCTGTGCTGCCGTCCCTCCCTCCCTCCGCCCGGTCCGGCCGTCCGCCCCGGTCCCCGCCCCGATCCCCGGCCCCCGCGGCCGCCCCGGGGCCCAGTTGCACGCATCTCGGCCGGCCTGGGCGAGCGGCTGCACATGAGGGAGGCCCCGAGCTGAGTGCCCCGGCCATGGCTGCTCCCTGGAGCTGCGCCCTCCTGGTGATCCTGGCGTCCCGGCTGGCGACCCTGGTCCAGTGCCTGGCAGAGGACGACGTCCCCGAGGACTGGCTCCTTCTGCACGTGGTCCAGGGCCAGATAGGGGCCGGGAACTACAGCTACTTACGGCTCAACCACGAGGGTAAAATTGTCCTCAGGATGCAGAGCCTCAGAGGGGACGCGGACCTGTACGTGTCCGACAGCACCCTGCACCCCAGCTTCGACGAGTACGAGCTGCAGTCGGTCACTTGCGGCCAGGATGTGGTCTCCATACCGGCGCACTTCCAGCGCCCGGTGGGCATAGGAATCTACGGACACCCGTCACACCACGAAAGCGACTTTGAGATGAGGGTGTACTCTGACAGAACTGTGGATCAGTACCCGTTCGGGGAGGCTGCCTATCCTTCCGACCCCACAGGCGCCGGTCAGAACCACGCTTACGCTTCACAGGAGGCATCCCAAGAAGAGGAGTCGGTCCTCTGGACGATACTGATTAGCATTTTGAAATTGGTGCTTGAAATTCTCTTCTGAACCCTTGTCTGCACGGAGCGATTAGTTTGCTGCGGACCTTGCTACTTGACCTGGTGAAATTCTGGTTACCTTTTCTAGACTAGGATGGAAAATTAAAGCCATACAGTTTTGTTACCTCAGTTTACTCCCCACGCAGGAAAAGCAGCAAGCACAATATTTTACAGATTAAAATTCCTATGAAAAGGAGTCTGCTCAATAAAATGTTTAAATACATTTTGGTTAGTCAGGTGAGTAAGTGACAGGCTGTATAAAAACTTATTAAACTATGTGCTAGTGCAGATGAAATAAAGCCCGATGACTGTGGAGTGTAATCTGTAGGCATACTAAATGAAGTACAGCACTTGCAGTTTTAAAGACGTTCTAGAGCCAGGTCGGAAATGCAATGACAGCTTCAGTCTTCACAGAGCCTCTGTGCACAGTAGGGATGTGGTACCCGATACTCGAGCAAGCTTTCCTGGCAGACAAGTTATTTACAGCTGTTTGTTGCTGTGCCTTTTGATGGCTATTCCAAATCCAGTTGTACCAGATGTCCTCTGCCCTTTGCTCTGTTGGCCCAATTGGAATGCTCTGGTTATTAAGTAACTGATACTACCTAAGCAGGTCAAGACAGTCATGACAGACAGTAACCTTTCAGACTCAAGAAGAAATATTTATTTCACATTAAGTTGCTGATCTCTGGAAAAAGACAGCACTAAGAGATTAAAATCTGGGGAAATGAGCCATTTCTCTGACTTTCTTTCAAGGGTATGAGTTGCTAATAATGAAATAAATCAACTTGAAGATGTTTAAGGTCATAGTTAATTTCAAAAAAAGTTCTTTATTGGCATAAAAATGAAAGTGTAAATAAATTGGCACCAAATATCCCAAACTGAGGGTCAGGTCAAAAACCTATTTTATCCCTCTTTGCTGTTTTTTCCCCTTCTGCCCACTTTCCTGGGTGTTGGGGGAGCTCGCTGACAACAGTCACAAATCCAGCGACCTAGGAGAAAAATTGTTAGTTAATATGGAGTGGAATTTTATTTTTATAGGCCTGAATACAAACCACCTAAACTCATTACTGAGCTGTCCCTAGTGATACCTCTCTGGGAATTTTTTTTTTTTTTTTTTTTTTTTTTTTTTTGTGGGGAAGGAAGTACTGAGCTTCTTAAGCCAAGGAAGAAAATGTAAACAGTCCTTAATCAGTGTAACCAATGCAGTGCAGAATTTAGTGCACAGACAAGGGGAAAGGGCACAAAACAATCATTTGTACCTTTAAAAAAATATAATGTAATCCTAAAACTCAATACCATCATGCTTTTAAAGCCTCAACAACACAACCCTAATGTAGACCTTGTTAGTGAATCTGCCTCTCTGTGGCCTCTCCCACTCTTCTAGCAGTACCTGTACCACACCTGAGCTGAATTACTGCAGAACCTCGAGTGACTGTCCACGTTGCTTACAGAAGGATTTCAGAAAACTTGAGTTTTATAGAGTACTATACAGTGTTAACTATGCAACTAAGTCCTTAAAATTGCACAATTACTTGTATATGTTTCAATAGGATTACTGTGATTTACTATCTGATCTGTGTTATCTGGAATTATTGTGCTGCCTCACTTTATAGAAAGATGTCTTAGTATATATAAAGGCATAGCAGTCACTTTGTAAAGTTTCTAAGTAGATGACCTTTAAAAATAAAACGAAAGCACTGAAACAAACTGGTGGTGTTACTTTAGCATTTTTAGTAGAAAACACCAGCTCATTCTACCCCCTCAGACAATACTTCCAAACCTAATCTAAGCATTCTATTTCATTTCTCCTTTGGTTGCACTAAGGATGAAAACCAGGTAGCTGTGACATGGACAATAAGAGCTTGATCATAATTGGAACATGTTCATGTCATTTATACAGCCTTAAAAAAAATAAGATCTTCACACAAGATAATGGGCTTTTTTTTTTTTTTTTTCATCTTTACCTGATGGAATAGCACCAAGGCCCACACAAAAAGTATGATAACCTCTGTCACACACATCACAGAACATCATTTCTTCTTCGTGGTGGGGCTGTCCACATATAATGCATGTCTTACATTCCATACACTGCCATGGGTAGGTCTTAATTATAGAAACAAGCTCCATGGTCATATCCAAGCAAGAAGGGTGGCCTAAATCAAAACCAACATTAATAGGATTTCACAACAGAACTTTTAACTTAAGGCATATAAAATATTAGTTCCCAAGAATGGCTGCCATGATTAATATTACCATAGATTCATCAAAATAAAACAGCAGTGGATACATGGGTTTCGACTACATCTAACAAGTCACTATCCATTTGCTGACTGACTCTTTGTCGGACATCTAGCTGATAACTCTAAACCCTAGCTTTTGAGACAATATGCAGGGTGAGGTAAAATCTTAAGGAGACATCTCTACTTACCACTGTTATCACACTGGGAGCAGTGTATAAGTGATTCAGCCTTTCCTTTCTTGTTGGATTCCTTACCCTTCAGACAAATTCCACATAGAGCATTTGGAATGACCTTTGGCTGGAAGGGTAGAACAGGGCTATAAATTCATGGCAGAAGAACTCACTATGGGTTCAAAAGGGATTCTGTTATTACCTTATCTTTACTTTTGGTAATCTGATAATGAGAGCCTTTTTGTAAGACATAACTGGATATGAGATGGATCAGAACATAAACCTGTACTAATGAAAGCCTAGACTGTACTCCATAAACAGCATAAATGTGTGTTGTCTAAACGCAGCACTCTGAGCTCCCTACACACACAGCATCTATATTAAGACCAGAAGGAAAACGAAATAGGATGTCAAATGCCACTAATAATTGGGAAAGAAAATCCATGTACCAAATAACCACACATAAGAGCTAAGCCTAAGTTTTATGCTTATATTAAGCTTATATTCACTTTATTTCAAACACTGGTATTTTTCCAGTGATATAGAGCTGAACCTATCAAATTTAAGTTTAAAAAAAACAGTATTTTAATTGAAAGATGTCATACATTGTCATGCATAAATGTCTATAGAAATTTGAGTTGTATGCATATTCTTGTTCCATGTCTAAAAACTTAAGAACTATGATAAAGGAGAAAAGCAGTCACTGTAACATGTAAAACAAAAAGCTTTCAGACAAGGAAAAACTGTAGTCAAATAGGAAATATACAAAGTACATTTTGGGTATTATCTTTCAGATTAAAAACACACACAGTATCTGGGCTTTAAACATGGAATAGGATAAAGTATAAGGAGTTTCCTACTTATAAGGAAGGGATAACTGAGCATCATAATCGTGACCATCACAAATACTGCTCCCATGTACTATATATATATATAGGTGTGCATCAATAAATGGTTAAGAGGGAGAGGACAAAGCCTAACACAGTCAAATACATTGTATCTCTTTTCTAAGTTACTGTACCGCAGAGATCTAAACTCAAACTTTCATACAGCAGTGTCACTTTAAATGTTTCACTGCCACTTGTATACCTTGTCAAACCTAAATAATAATTTGTTTTTACTTTTTAAAAAATATTTTCTTTGCAAAAGATGACAGAGGCATTCAAAAACAATTTTTGGCTTATTTATTTTTTAAAAAGTCAACCTTATACATAAATATGATAAAAACAATATCTAAACAATCACAAATGTCTCTACAAAATAATAAATACCATGGAGTTAAACAAACATATAAAATGTCCCCATTGACTACTCTCCGTCTCTGTGTATTTATACCCTGCTCTCCCAGCATCTCATAGCAGTTAGTTACTCTGCTACTCTGGCTGCGCACTAAGCACATGGTTTCACTGTGTCCTGGACCTCAGTAAAAAAGAGCTAGGAAGTTCACTGCTAACCCTGCATCTTAACTACCATCATATGCAGCAGAACTTTCAATATCCTGCACTAAATGTAAAAAATAAACTCACTTAATGCTTAGAGTTCAGTTAGACACTGGCATAGTAAGTTGTCTAGTATGTTTCACTAAGTCAGGGAAGAAACTACACAATATTAAATTTTGAAAAGAGAATTCCTCATAGGAGACTCTTTACAAAGCAACTCAAAAGGAATAAAACACAAATCTAGTTATTCACATTCTAGAGCAATTCAAGTTCTACAATCACTAAAATACACATAATGCCTATAATAAAAGACACTAAGAAAACTCAGGGTTTACCTTTAAAGTTATACATAATTTTCTGTTAAACCATTTAAAATTTTTTCTTACCCAATAATCTTCATCTTGTTGAAAAGAAGAATATGGAAAAAGACAGGAGGGAGAGGGGAAGAAGGGCGAGGAAGGAAGAAGAGACAGATGGAGAAGAGACAGCAGAGGAGGGAGGAGAGAAAGCACTGTGGCATGTTCTGCCGTGACGCTACCGTTCAACATACAAAAGCCCGTTGTTCCTGTCAGCAGCACCCAGGCTCTAAGTGGCCACAGGGCCTCACAGACAAACCAAAGGCCAGCACTGACGGGAGAAAGGAGGGTGCACAGGTCCCTTGAAGACCATGGGGAAGGCCCTGGGCCTCTTCGGGACCCTCTGGCCTCCTTCAAACAACTGCAACAACCTTGTAGTCTTCTTCAGTCAACAGCCCTCAGCATGTCAGATAAAAGGCTCATGTATACTTACTTCTCTTGTTGAAAAATAGCAAAATAAGTTGAAACTAACGTAGTATAGATTTTAATTATATATGTGTAGGCCTGAAGCCTAACAACTACACTTTAATTTCAGGTTAATGTAACCTAAGCGATTCTGTCCTACAAGTAAAGGGCAAGCACTACTCCATCTCATTAAATCACATACACTATCATGTGTCTTAACTCCCTTATTTTAAAGGGGGGTGTGTGTTTGTCTATGAGTGTCAGCTTGAAGTACCCTAATATTTAGGCACATCTTGGCTCATTAATACTTTTCATAGAGAGGTTAACTTTCAATAATCATGTTCACATTAACATATATGTCTATATATTGTCTGTTCCTTCTTTGAAATACCTGAAACATTTTTAGTTATTAAAAATGTTTACAGATTATAAAATATTTATTTTGCACATGCGGCTCCCTGGAATACTATTAACTAAGATTAATCTGTATGATTCATTCACTAGATCAGTGATGATATGGATAGTTCTTCATTTCCAGCCTGCATTACATGTCTATTTCAATATTCTCTATTTTATACTGCATGATCAAACAGGCTCCTTGTTTAAATGCTTCCTCAGGCCTGGACAGCTGCCACTCCTGCTGGCACCCTAGGATAGTGACACACTGGCTCCTGCAGGCTGTTTCTGAAATGTAATCTTTGGAGTTTGTTTGGCTTCAATTATTAAGCAGTAACTGAAATCTTTAGTTTACAAAGGTATACATTAAAACAAAACTAAACAAACAACCCAAATACAAAACCACACACAGCAGCCAGCAGCATACTGAGGGTGTCCTTGGAAGGGCTCCTTGCTGAGTCAAAGCCACAATCGCTGGCCATGCACAAAAGCATGTGTTTTTACGTGGATCATACATGGGAATTTCTAGTAACCTACAGGACATAACGACTTTACTAATGTGCTGTCAGAAAGTGTTCCGGCGAGGCTGAGGGAAAATGAGTCCCAGCTCACTTCTGATCATTTTCTGTGCTACATGCTATGGTTAGGACACTGACGCACAGGTGTTCAACAACTCAACTTGGCAAGAC